CCCCAATCTGCCTCCCCACCATCCCCAAGGACTCTCAGCCAAACTTTGCTCCACCACTCTCCTAAGCCACCTGCTAACCCCCTCACCCTCACCAGCATCCTGGGCAGCCTGTAGAGCATGTAGGTAGTTGTCTCTGGCAGCCTTGTGGTCCCCAAGCTGGCTCAGCGCAAATGCCAGACTGCCAAAGCTCCGGCCCTGCTCCCACCGCTGCCCCAGAGAGCCTGGTAACAGAGCCCACCCAATTCTAAGAGGGGACCTTGGCCACTGGGGTAGCAGAACCCTAACCCCCAACCACCAAGAGAGAGTTTGCAGGAGACCCAGGCTCAGCCCCAGCACACCTTCAGATGTACCACAAAGGCCCAAACTTTCGATACCCATGTTCAGCCTCTCCTCAGTCCTGATTTTTGTCCTGAAAGCCTCCCCCTGGCTATTCTGAGCCATGCGACAATCTTGTGAGGCAGGCAAGGCAGGTGTTAGTAGCTCTTCCTTCTGCCCGTTGCTGCCTTCCCAGCCCTAGGCCTCAGCCTTTGGGCCCACAACCCTCTGTACTATCTGGCTATCCCATCTCCTGCACCCCCAGCCCTCACCCCCCTGGTTCTGGGCTTCTGACCCCATAACTAGTCCTCAAGGTCCATTCACCGTTCAGCTTTAGGGCCCCTGCTGGAACTCCCTCTTAGTCTCTTAGTCTCAATCCTACTCCCCAGCACCTGGTACTTACCATGCAGGTCAGCAGCCTTCTGGTGAAACTCCCGCGCTTCCTGATAGTTTCCAAGGGCATTGTGGGCCATCCCAAGGTTTCTCAGCACCGTGGCCTCCTCTCCTGGCCCCCGGCACAAGGGCAAGGCCTGCAGGAAGGCCTCTGCTGCTAGTGGGAACAGCTGGAGCTGGGAGTAGCCCAGGCCTAGATCATTATAGAGTTGCCCTAGAAGGCAAGGCCAGGGTCACTAGTAGCCAGGTCAGATGCAACTGAGGCTATACTGGTGTAGCCCCTGTCCCACTCTCAAAGGGTCCCGCCATCCACTTCCCCAGCCCTCAGAAATGCCTCTGTTTCCACCCCACCTCTCAGAGTATCACCAGGTCCGAATCCGCCCAGATCCCACACTTCTCGGACCAAAGGCCTCACCAAGCAGTCCTCGCTCAGCACTCATCTCCGCCAGCCTCCGGCTCTCCTCCAGCACCTGCACCACCGCACCCACGCCATGCTGCGCGCTCTTCAGCATACACCTCGCCGCAGCCCCCAATGCCAGGGCTGCAGCCCGGGGCTGCCCTGCTTGGGCATAGGCCTCACTTGCTTCCTGCAAGCAGCGGGCTGCTAGCTCAGGCTGTCCCAGAGCCTGATAGCAGGCTCCCATTTTTGCCTGGGCTTGCCCCTGGTCACCCAGTGGCTGATAGTGGCCCAGGGCCCTGTGGTACCAGGCCAAAGCTTGAGGCAGGTTGCCCAGGGCATGGTAGGCCAAAGCCACATTGAAACATTGGTCACCATGACACCTGCCCTGTGCCTTCTCTTCAGGTTGGGCTCTTAGGAGCAGCTCAAGGCCTCTGGCTGGGTTCCCAGTCTCCACGTAGGCTGCCCCCAGGTTGAAGGCACAGGCCCGAAGAAGAGGAGTGTCCCTTTGTTGTGAGGCTTTGGAGGCCAGGAGGAAGGCCCTCTGGAAGTTAGTCAAGGCCTCATGGTTCTGGCCGGCCAGTAGGGCCCCGTGGCCAGCCCTGGTGAGGGCCTGGATGCTGGCCTCTTGCTGCCGCCACTTTGTCTTCTTTTTCTTAGTGGAGCTTGAGGGCTCAGGCTCAGGCTCTTGTGAGGCATCCTCCGGGTTGGGGACAGACATAATACTGACAACAGAAAGCACAGGGTTCAATGTGTCACCCCTCGCTTCCTCCAAAGCAGGATCCCCCTAGGACAGCGATTGTCAACCTTTTTCATCTCATGGCACACATGAACTAATTACTAAAATTCTGAGGCACACCAAAAAAATAAATATAACTTCGATTCATTCGCATGGGACGGCTATTGATATTTTGGCTGCCGTCATTTTTTAATTTGACAATCTAAGGGGGAAAAGGTCAAGTGCCCCTGACTAAATAGTCAGGTAGTTCATGTTTTAAAAATTCTTGCGGTGCGCCAGTGTGACAGGGTTCGACCTGCCCTGGTGGAACCTCGGGATTTCAAGGACTTCTCTCTGCCCTCTCGCTCTGCTTTACCTACCCATCGGGCACCGGAGCAGCTCACTCTAACGTCCTGACTAATTCTTAGTCAACTTTCAAGGCTCAGTTCAAGTAATAGCTTCTTCCAGAAAGGCCTCTCCCCTCAACCAACTGGGTTCTTCTGTACTCCCATAGCACCCTACGTCTTTTGTGGCATTTATTGCACTGGGCTAGAGTTGTTCGCTTTCTTGTCTATCTCCCCTGTTAGATTTGGAGCAACTTGAAGGGCCTGACACATAGTAGATTCTCAATAAACATTTATCACATGAAATAAAAAGGTTACGGAGATGGATGGTCTGATGGTTGCACACAATATGAATATACTTAATGCCACTTAAAATGGTTTAAAACTATGCATTTTATATTATATATACTTGACTACAATAAAAGTGTTTCTTGAATGAATAAATGAATGAATGAATGGATGAGTACACACAGGACCTCTCCTCCACCACCTCCTTCACCCTGGGCCTCTGCAGACACCTCTCCACTCCTAATCTAGGTGTCCGGCTGTCTAATCTCAAGACATGGTTCAAGTCAGTTTAACAAATATTCGGTGAGCTCCTGCTATGCTCCAGGAAGGCACTGGGATCACAAAGCTGAAGAGGCTATTGAATTGGCCAGGAGCCAACTTCCAGGAGTGAGGATTCTTTCTCTCTATTCCACCCCTACCCCATACACACACACTCCCTATCTCAGGGGGAACTTTCTTCTCCCCTATCCCCTTGGCTTTCTGCCTGTTAGCTAGTTCCAGGCCCCCAATATCCTGCTTTGGTCTCTAGGGTGCTCTTAAATCTAAATACATTTCTCTCATCAGCATGTGCTTCCCATTAGTATCCCTCCCCTAGAAAGGCAGAGCCTTTTCATGAACTCTCCTCCCAAGAGACAGGAAAGAGTGAGAAAGACCCAGGCATTGAGCTCTCAGACCCTCCCCTCTCCTGTCCCACCGCCTTTCCCCAGTTTTAGAAGTAGGCAGAGGTGATACATTCTCTTTTAAAAGAAATTTCCTCTGCTCCTAAGAACAGCTAGGTAACCTGCCTCTTCAAGGCCTTCATCCTTGGGGTATTCCTGGCTACCCCTACCAGGTTTTGGGGCCCCAGCCATAGGATGCCTTACCTCTTTCGATCTTCTCCGCTGCTAGCTTTCTGGAATGGTCCCTCTGGCTTGGGTTACCTCCCCTAGCTCCTAGCACAGAGCCCTCCACCCCCCCTCACCCGTTACCAGACAACCAGGTACCGCCCTCCACTCCTAGGGAATTCTTTGATTGACAGCTCAGGTGCCCTATCTTAGTGCGTAACCGTGCTGGTGCTTGGGCGCGGACTCCAGAATTTCACTGTCCTTCCTGTCCCACCACTCTCCACACCTGCAGACACCCCCCTGAAGTCCCTCATTTAAAGCAATGAATCAAAGCATCATGAGCTTGTTACTAGTTACAATTTTAAAGATCATCTATCTACACCCTTATTCCACAGAGGAGGTGACCTGGCTCAGAGAGTAGGTGTGACTTGCCTGAGGTCACAGAGCAGTCATGCAGCTGGGATTAGACCCCAGGGCTAATTAGCCCAGGTTCGAGGAGGGTCGTTTCCACTAACTGTGGTTGGAAGCTTTAATAAGGCTTGAGTTGTCCCAGAAGTGAATCCTTTCACACATACACACCCTCCCCCTCTCTCTCTCTGTCTCGGGAACTNTTAATAAGGCTTGAGTTGTCCCAGAAGTGAATCCTTTCACACATACACACCCTCCCCCTCTCTCTCTCTCTGTCTCGGGAACANAACTGTGGTTGGAAGCTTTAATAAGGCTTGAGTTGTCCCAGAAGTGAATCCTTTCACACATACACACCCTCCCCCTCTCTCTCTCTGTCTCGGGAACTGGGTGGGAGGTTGATGATCAGGAAAGGCCTGGAGATCAGAAGAGCCTTCCTGCCCCCAGACTCCTTTTCCCAGCTCCACTGATCTGCAACCTCCCAAGTTCTGCTTAATGAGAGGACGGCAGGCCCCAGGACAACGGGCTCCTACTACCCTAATTCACCAAAAGTGCTGGCCTCAGAAAGCAAATGTCCTCATTTTTCTCAGGAAAGGCTTTTTTCAAGTAGATAGGGCTTTGCCAGAAACAAAATTATAAGGATGTAGTTGGGCTCACATGCATTTGCCTATCAGCCTTTGCTGAGTGCCCACTGTGCCATGCCAGGGGCAGGCTCTCCCAGCTGCCTGCAGCTTCTGCCCCAGGGCTGGGCCTTTCAGAACTATCACAGCCTGGCCAGGACCAGATGTGCATCTCAGTCTGTTGTTGACTCCACAGGCTTCTGGAGGATTTGGGGAGGGGACAGGGACTGAAACTGCTCTAAAGACCTCTGAATGATCTAGTGATTATTTTCTGAATCCTTTTCTTGTTTGATTTCCTGCTATATCTGACATATCCTTGCAACTCTCTCCTTACTTGGCTTCTATGTCCCATGTGCCCTGGCTCTCTTTCTCCTGCTCTGTCGTCTCTGTCTCCTTTTCTGGGCGCTCTGTCCACCTCTTAAATACTAGTGTTCCACAACACTCTGCCCTTTGCTCTTTTCTTGCTTTACATGCCCTTCCGAGAACATTTCATTCATCCCTCTGATTTCAGCACCACCAATAAGCTAATAATTTCTCAATGTATACCTCTAAACTTAGTTTGTCCAAGCAAAATTCCTAGTTCCTCAAATCTATCCATTCTGTGTTCCCAGTCTTAGTTGGTAAACCATCAACCCAGTCTCTAAGCTGGAGACCTGGTAGACATTCATGACTCTCCCCTCTCCTCCAACTCTCAATCCTATTGGCTCTACTTCTAAAACCTCTCTCCAGTGCACCCTCTCCTCTGCAGTCTCACGCCCATAGCCTAAGAACTCAAGCTTGGGGACCGCGGTTGGGTAGCTCAGTTGATTAGAGTGTCATCCCAATATGCCAAGGTTGAGGGTTCCATCCCCAGTCAGGGCACGTACAGGAATCAACCAATGAATAAATAAGTGGAACAACAAATCAATGTTTTCTCTCTCTCTCTAAAAGTCAGTCAATAAAAATAAATGCATTTGAAAAAGGAAAATAAATCAGGCTTGGAGCCGGACTGAGTTTGAATCTTGGCTCTACTATGTTTTAGCTATGTGAGATTTCTAAGCCTCAGTTTCCTCATCTATACTGTGAAGATTAAATAATATGGTCCTTATAAAATAGTGCTAAGTATAGTATCAGCATATAATAAGTGCTCAGTGCATGTTGATGTGATGGTCTGTAACTCTGGCATTTTCGACTACATCTCTCCTCAGTTCTTGTTTCAAGTTCCTATTCCACTGGGGTGGTGGAAACAACATGAGTCAGTTTGGTGAGCCTCCTCCTCTTGCCTAGGGTGGAGTCCAAGTTGGGGGGAGGTATGGATGCTAAGACTTAAGAAGGGAGGCCCATCTGGCCCTTGGCCACCTATTTACTCTCCACTGACATCTTTCTTATCCACCTGGCCCTTCCAGGCTCAGGGACCCTCCTCACAACCAGAAGAGGGAGTAAGTCATCTAGGTATTTCCTTTCTGGCTAGGTTGGGCAATTTCTGCACAACAGTCTAAAGGCATAGCTGCCTGGCTTGTTATGCAACTGTTCCTTCCCAGGGTCCTGTGCTCCTCCAGTCCTTCCCAGGAAGCAGGGAATAGGATTTCTATCATCAGGAGCCACCAACATCTAGATTCTTCCTACTTTCCCGCTGGTGGGGGTGCAGGGGAGCAAGGGGGAATCCCTTCTGGTCTCAGAGAACACCCACTCTCTTCAAACCCCACATCTCCCAAACAGTTTTATCTCAGCCCTGAGTCTCCTCTGTTTTTCTGAAGCTTTGGATATTTTCTGTTTTTTTTTGTCCCTTTGCATTTCTCTCCTGAGATATGAGCCTAGGCTGCCTAGTTGCTTGAATGGGGCACAGGTAGAAGGGCAAAAGGAGAAATACCAGATGGTAATGTACCAAAAATATTTTTTCAGTATAGTTGTAGTTATAATTATTTTTATTAGTTCAAACCCTCATTATCTCTAACTCGTGCTATTGCAATAAACTCCCAATTGGTCTCTGTCCCTAGCCTCACTCCCCTTCAAGCCACTACTGCAAAGGGAATCTTTATAAAATATAAACCTGGCTCTGACCTGTGTCTAAAGTATTCTTTGGCACATGACTGCTTCTCAGACCATGGTGACCAAGGCCCTGCAGGATCTGGCCATGGGCCTCTCCAGGCTTACTTCCTGCCTCTCCCTGGTTGAGCTTTGTTCCCTTATAAAACTGAACCGATTTTAATTTCCTGAATTCACCTCTTTGCTTTTGCACATGCTGTTTCCACTGACTGACATTCCTCTCTCCTTCAGTCTGTTGAATTCTTAACTTTTTAACTCAGATCAGCTGTCACCTCCAAAAGAAAGTCTTCCTGTCCTTCATCACAGCAATTAACTCTTTTTTTTTTTTTTTTTTTAAATTATGTCTTTATTGATTTCAGGGAGAGGGAGAGAGAGAAACATCAATGATGAGAGAATCATTGATCGGCCGCCTCCTGCACGCCCCTACTGGGGATCCAACGCGCAACCCAGGCATGTGCCCCAACAGAGAACTGAACCTCTACCGTCTGAATCATAGGTCAATGCTCAACCGCTGAGCCACACCGGCCAGGCAGCAATTAACTTATCCTCTGTGTATCACTGACCTCTAACTTATGTGACTATGTTTATCACTCATTCCAGAACGGCAAGCTTCTTTAGGGCATTTACTGTGCTTATTTATCTGTGCATCCGTGGGACCAAAGAATACTATAGGAAAATGAGCGAGGTTAAGGGAAATAGTAGGGAACCGATAAAGGCGAGGCCAAGGGCAGGGGCTACTTTAAATAAGACGGTTTAGCAACTAAGGAGCTCTGGAGGAACAGCAGCCAGGATACCGCCGCGAGGGGAGCACCCCCCCCGCTGGGGCGGTATCGCTGTCCTCCCCACCTACCCGCGCGCCTCCGCAGCTCGGAACTACAAATCCCAGTGTTCCCTGCGCGGGCACCGGAAGTGTCCTGCTGGACAGCTGTGACGGTGAAGGGCAGTGGCGGGCGGCGGGAGATTCAAACCTGGAGAAGGAGAAACATGGAGGGGAGAGGAACCGGCCCGGGCCAGGCGGTCTGTGAGTGTCAAAAGTGGAGGGCCCAGCGGTGGTGGCCCCTACTGGTTCGGTGGTCCTGGGAGAGGGTGGGGCGGGGCTGGGAGCGGGGTCTACCAGGCAAAGGCCGGCGGGACTGTGTTCAGTGGGGAGGGAGCACTGAGTCCTGGCTCCCTGCGGGCAGGAATAAATCTCTGAGCAACAGAACTTCCCCGACTAATGTGCTTACAAAGAGTTTTCCCCCCTTTCCCTAAATTCTGGGGCTCCTACATTTTGAGAGAATGTAGGTGGTCTGGATGGCCCCTTAAAATTCAGCAGTTACTGATGGCTGCCATGCTTGCTAAGCGCTACCCGGGACTGGATGCCTAAAGAGACCTGGGGGAGTGAGGGGGACTAAAGTTTTGCCACCCCAAAATATGCCTTTTAGGATATTGACTTTAAGCTAGTTATTAAGCAACACAAGACTCAAAGAACCTTTGACTCTCTCTCCTTACCCGCCTACAGGAATACAGAAAAACTTGCTTAATATATAAACTAAATGTAGACACGGAGAAATCCAGCAAAGCCTATTTGTTGAACTCCCCTCTGTGGACCCTCGTTTCTGGGTGGCCCAGCGAGAGTTTGTTTACCACATATTTGCCCTTTCTCATCTACCTGTGACTTACCTGATTTCCGTTTGCAATCCCAGACCCATGCCTCGGTCTCCTTTGTGGAGAATGGCAGACAAGCCTCAACTGCCCAGTGCTTCCTTGGGTCTTGTATTCTTATGGCACCCCTGCATGTACATCCATAATAAACTTCCCCTATTAATCTGTCTCATGTTAATTTGAGTATTAGCCCAGCCAGAAGAACTTAGAAAGGTGGGAGGGAAGTTTTTTTTCCCACTCCCACAGGGGGATTCCTTGACTTTCTGATGCCTCTCTGAGACAATGTCTGTCAAATTTTAGGGTTTCAGAATTACCTGGGGAGCTTGTTTAAAATGCAAATTCATGATCCCCATCCCAGAGCTTTAACTTCAGTAGGTCTGGATGGGGGGTGTGTGTGTGCATAACTTGCATGTGTAACAAACCCTGCTGTGCTGCCTCACCCCAGGTAATTACAATGCAGTTAGTCCATGAACCACACTTTCAAAAACACTGCTTTAGAAAGTGAGATGGAGGTCAAAAGGATGGGGCAACAGAAAGGTTTCCATCAGACCTTCAATAAAAGGCAAAATTTCCTTCTTCCTTTCCATTGGGATTCAAAAAACAAAGCCCACATGCACCAATCTCTTGAAGGAAAGCTAGTTCCATATCTGAGTAGGGCAGGAAGACTGATTTTTTTTTTAGACTCTGTGTATGTACAAAGCCCTGCCCATGTCTCATAGTCCTCAATTCATAACTCTGAGGTGATGTCATTCACTTACTGGTTTATTTTCCATGCTTAGCAACCAACACAACACGTTCCTTATACACCCCATCTCACCCCATCGGTGGAACTGATGGATTTCCCGTGGTTGGCCAGGGCTTTCAAATCTGAACTTGTGTGTTTTAACTTGCTTAACTGCCATTTCAAATAAGCTCTGCCCCTCCCCCAAATCACTGCAGGATATGCAATATAAAGAAATAAGATATTGACTAAGCTCTATGTCTTTAAGCTCTCTTGAGTTTATTTTCTTGGTGTGTGTGTATAGCTTTCATTCTAATTTTTTTAAAAATATGTCTTTATTCATTTCAGAGAGAGGAAGGGAGAGGGAGAGAGAGAGATAGAAACATCAATGATGAGAGAGTCACTGATCGGCTGCCTCCTGCATGTCTCCACTGGGGATTGAGCCTGCAACCTGGGCATGTGCCCTGACCAGGAATGGAACTGGGATCTCCTGGATCCTAGGTCGGCACTCAGCCGCTGAGCCACGCTGGCTGGGCTCATTCTGTCTAATTTTGTATTGTCTTCCTGAGGAGACCAGAGTAATGGGGGGGAGGGGGAAGGATAAAGGGAGGCTGTGGCTAAGGCAGACTATGAATGCTGTCTCATTTAAGGGATTCCCTGTTCTTGAGTTTGGGGGTCAGAGTATTGTCTGCATTTTTTTTTTAGCTTGGACACCTGTACCAAAAAGGAGAGTAAAGATACCTTTGTGATCTTTTAAAATTCTTTGTCTTTCCACTTAATCCCAAGTGAATGGCCTTTTTCAAGTGGTTCTCTCTATTGAACTGCCTTTTCCCCCCTCTAAGATTCTACTCATAGGTAGAATCCTTTGCTTCCTCTGCTGCTGTACAGACTATTCATGGGCTGTAATCACATTTATCACATTAGGTTGGAGTTTTTTACGTACATGTTGTTCTGTTCCAATAATTATCTCTGTGTTTCTTGAGAGTAGGGATCCACTAGCCCAGTGACTGACATATAGAAGGTATTGAATGAATGAATGGACTTTGAATGATGAGCCCTAGTAGGTTCTGGGGAGAGTACTTGAGGAGGATGACCCAAGTCAGTTCTTGGAGAACTCAGAATCTAATTAGGGATAAAATAAGGAGCTAATTTGCCAGCCTAAGAGGGATCTGGATATTCCAGCTGGGAGGCCCTGAGGAGGTTCATATAGATTTGGGAAGGTGGAGGTTGGGAAGATGGCTGAAGAGGAATGGGAAGGAATGCCTCCGATCCCCCTGTTAAAGGGTTCAGAGGCAACCCTTCAATAGGGTGCTGACTAGGATAGCTTTACTGGATGGGAGCAGAAGATTGGAGCCAGGGTGTCCTGGGAAATGGGAAACAGATATTTGGGAGATGCTTCTGGTTTCTGAGCACAGATGCCTAAGAAAGCCTGTTAAAAGAAGCTTCATTGCTATGGCCCTCTATCTAATGCTCCCTTCATTGACCTTACCCCCCTTCACTCAGATGAACGCCTCACAGCTGAGGAAATGGATGAGCAGAGGCGGCAGAACGTTGCCTATCAGTACCTGTGCCGGCTGGAGGAAGCCAAGCGGTGAGCAGAGGGACTGCCTCCTTCTGGTCTCCCTTTCCCACCCTGCCACCCCAGGCACCTGCCCCCAAAGCAAATGCAAAAGGACAGAAGTCCATCCTGTGGGAAAGGGAGAGTTGAAATAGCATCTTTTTTTTAAGACTTTATTTTTTTTAGAGCAGTTTTAGGTTCACTGTAAAATTGAGAGGAAGATACACAGATTTCCCATGTATCTCCTGCCCCCCCACGTGCAGAGCTTCCCTATTATCAACATCCCCATAAGAGTGGTACATTTGTTACAATTGATGCAGCTACATTGACATCATTATCACCCCTAAGCCCCATTAGGGCTTACTATTGTTGTAGTATATTCTGTGGGTTTGGACAAATGTATAATGACATGTATCCTCCATTATAGTATCATACAGAATTCTTTCATTGCCTTAAAGGCCCTCTGTGTTCCAAACCTATTCATCTCCCTCTTCTCTAACCCCTAGCAACCACTGATCACTTTATTGTCTCCACTTTGCTTTTTCCAGAATGCCATATACTGGTAATCATATAGTATGTAGCCTTTTCAGATTGGCTTCTTTTATTTAGTAATATGCATTTTAAAGCTCCTCCATGTCTTTTCATGGCTTGATAGCTCATTTCTTATTAGCACTGAGTAATATTTTTGGATATACCAGCTTATTAATCCATTCACCTACTGAAGGACATCTTGGTTGCTTCCAAGTTTTGACAATTATGATTAAAGTTGTTATAAACATCTGTGTGCAGATTTTTGTGTGGACATAAGCTACAACTCCTTTGGGTAAATATCAAGGAGCACTATTGCTGGATCATATGGTAAGAGTATGTTTAGTTTAAGAAACCACTAAACTGTCTTCCAAAGTGGCTGTACCATTTTGCATTCCCACCAGCAATGAATGAGAGTTCCTGTTGCTCCATTCCTTGCCAGCATTTGGTGGTGTCTATCTTCCAGATTTTGGCCATTTAATAGATGTATATTGGTATCTCATCATTTTTTTAAAAAAAGAAAAATGTAAGGATTAACACACCCTTTTAAGTTTTAAAAAAATATTTTTAAGGTTTAAAAGTGTTTGAAGTTTGTAATTCCTGGTAGGAAAATATTACCTGAACGAAAACCCTAATGGCAAACCATCATAAAATGTTACAGCTGCATTTGGAACAGAGAGGTAGGGATTCTCTTCAAAGCGCCCAGCTTTCTTCATGAGAAGGTCAGAGGTACACTGGTTTGTATTATTGGGACATCCATTGGGTGATCTGAGTTGCTTTTTCTTCAACAAAGGCTTTAATTTTCAAACAGGAATTATGCTTGACCTCCAAATTTGACTGACAGTTTACTGATGAGATTCATAACCTTTGGGTTGCTCTGATATTTTGACATATTTGCTAGGTGTCATTCAACTTGTTCCTTTATACCCCATATTTCCTGTAAATGAATGTTGACTCTAAAGGCAGGATAAATGCTTACTACTTTCCTTTTTGTTGATAGTATATTTTTAATGTTCTCCAAAAAGGTAGGTAGGGTGGAGTAGACAGAAAATCAGGTGTCTTTGTCAGGGAAAGCATGAAGTTTGACTGGCTCTGTCTTTGAAAATAGCTATTTTCCTATAGTTCTTGTTATGTGAAGAAGTTTGGAAATCTCATGTCAGAGATCTGTCCCTTATACAATTGTCAACAATAATACTTCACATTTATATTCAAAGTGTTCTCACATACATTAGTTCATTTAATCCTGACAGCTGCCCTGACACAGGGAGTACAGGTGGTGATATCTTCATTTTGAAGATTATGCAACCGAGTCTCAGGTGAAGTAGGGGAGATGGTGTGGAAAGCATGTTTCCTGATTCCAAGGGCTGTGCCCTTTCTGTCCCTCTGTGCTGCTCCCCTTCCGTCAACCCTGGGTGTTCCCCACTACCCTCACCATCACCAAAGCTGGGTTATGGGCTGTGTAGATCATTCAGGAAGACATGACCTTTCTGTACCTGTGTTCTCCAAGGACATGCAGAATGAGAGAAGTGAGCAGATTCAATTTGGTTGAACAGTTAAATGCATAACCAGACTGAGTGAGAGGTTATATCATGTAACAGGTAAGAGCCTGTTTAAGCCCCACTGAAGGTGGGCAGTTTTAGGATCTTGACAGGGGAGATTTTCTGGGGTGGGTGGGGGCTGAGGATTGGCCAGTCCAGGTGTTTGGGGCAGCTTGGGAGAAGGTGGGAACAGCCAAGCAATGGGCAGAGAGAGGAGTTGTGAGTAGGAAAGAACAGGAGGCAGGAGAGTCAGGCTGCTTAGGGGGAGAGAAGGAGGGAAGGTTCTGTGATTAGAATGAGCTGCGGTGGCCTGCCAGAGCGGGTGAGAAGGTGCTTATGCTCTCATGCTCTCATGCTCTCAGCTGGATGGAGGCCTGCCTGAAGGAGGAGCTTCCTTCCCCCGTGGAGCTGGAGGAGAACCTCCGGAATGGAGTGCTGCTGGCCAAACTGGGCCACTGTTTTGCGCCCTCTGTGGTTCCCTTGAAGAAGATCTATGATGTGGAGCAACTGCGGTACCAGGTGGGAAATAGAGGTCTCTACCTTCTATCTTCTTCCTCTCAAACTGCTCCTTCTCAAAGCTGTGAGAGTAGAGTGACCATATAACTTATTGTCCAAACCTGGGTACTTCTGAGGATGAAAAGAGTGTTACTAATCATTGCACTGGGACAACAGGTATCAGTTGATGTCTCTGTTAGGCAGTGTGCATTATTTTTAGCAAGGGACATTTGGTAGGTGGGCTTTGAGTTAACCCTGATATGAAGGGTTATTCTACCTCCAAGAAGACTATTCTACCTCCAGACTATACTCAGAGGCTCGTGGGCTTTGCCACCTGAAAGTACTTCCTAGGCATACTGCCTCTTGCCGTGCCCTGGCCAGCCCAGCCTGCCTCTCCTTCCCGTCCCAGCTCTGTACTCCTCTGTTTTAGGAAGCCTTACAAGATTGTTAGCCCCATCCCTGTGCCATCCTTCTCAAATATCCCCCTGGGTCATCCATTCCTGGTGGTTTCTGTTGGTCTGTGTATCTTGGTCCTGGGGAGATGGGAAGTCCATGGGATAGGAACCTCGGGCTCCTCCAAGCTGTGGTCTGAGCTCTGCTCATAGGGAACCCTGAGAACTTGTGGAAATAGATTCTCTTCTCTTTCCCTTTCAGGCAGCTGGCTTGCATTTCCGTCACACAGACAACATCAATTTTTGGCTTTCTGCAATAGCCCACATCGGTCTGCCTTCGGTAACACTGGGCCTCAAGATTGGGGTTCATCTTTACTACTCACCAGCGCCCCCAACCCTCACTGTGCACACACAGTTTATCTCCCTGAGACCCTTAAGCCCTCATCTCCATGTGTTTTCTAAACTAACTTAACCTAAGGGTTTAAATTCCTTGGGGCTGTGTGTCTTTGAACCAGGTTACTTGGTCTCTGCCCCCACTTCCCTGTGGGTAAAAAAAGGAAGTGAAGGCTGCCTGGCTCAAGTTGCATTGTTCCCATTAGGCATTGAGGCCCCTTTGTAATGCAGGAGATGGGGCTCATGTTAGCCAGCCATCTTTCCATGAGAATTTCATAGTGTGAAACAAGAGCACACCACATTCCTAGGTGATAGACTGGGAAGCCTAGGCCCCAGACCCCAACTGGACAGATGCTACGTGTCTTCTCACTCTTTGAATTTCAATTGGCTCCTTATCTATAAAATAGGGATAGTAATCCCTTCCCTGTCTATCTTATGAAGTTGACAGGAGGATCACACGATCTGTGTGAATTCCCTTTTTGAATTGTAAAGTGCTATACAAACAAGACACGATAGGATTCTACAATGTATGATTTCTTTCTTTTTTGTTTTTCTTCATTGTAGAATGGAGATATAAGACAAGGAAATAGTAGTAAAGAAAGATGCTTTGGTGGAAGCAGTGGAGCCATGTGTCCTCAGTGGGGTTGGAACACTTAGACCTCTAGATTTAGTCCTTAAGAATCTAAAGTAACCAAGAGGTACTGAGGTTAGACCTCATTGTAGTTGCCAGGTGGCATGGGAAGCCATGCCTGGGGTAATCCAATTACTCTTCGAGGGGCTTCCATTGATCAGAGGCCTTTGACTTGGAGACAGGGATGACATACCCTGACCCTTGATGGTCCTTGGCATTGTATTCTTCATTGGGCGCTCTGTGGGACCATGGCCAACTCCCTAGCATGCCACCTTTCTGGGAAGAGTCCAAGGTGAGGGGCACAGGCTGGCTGTGTTTATAGGATGAACAGGGGCCCATTTCTCCTGGTAGATATAGCCTGCATCCTATAGCCTTGATAGCCTTGTTTGGCATCCCAGTGTTTGATTAATCTGGGGCTGGGTCTTGGCTTAGTATGTGTCCCCATTGCCTTTCTTTTATACTGGGCTGGCTGCAAATGGTTGGGGAGACTGACCTAGAAGCCCCAGGCAACAAAGGAGCACACACCCCAGGTTGTGCTCAGCCTCCCTCTCAGCCCCCTCTCTCTATATCTGGTGGAGGTTAAAGGTTCCCAGTGGCACTAACTGCTTGTTTCCCCTCCAGACCTTCTTCCCAGAGACCACAGACATCTATGACAAGAAGAACATGCCCCGAGTGGTCTACTGCATCCATGCACTCAGGTGAGAGACTCCAAACTTCTGTCATCCTGGTTACTCTAGGTGGATGCAACCAACAATTGACAGCAACAAACATTGTAGCAGGAAGGATGGAGGATAGACCAGGGGAGCACATCTCAGGAGAGTAAAGTTTTAGATTTGTGTAGTTGTGCTTAGATTTATGTGCATGTTTGTGGGACATTTATTTATGACCTGTGTGGGTGAAGGAAAAGAGCAGTGAGGGAAAGGTCTTCAGTCTGTGACTGGAGTATACAAGACCCATCAAGAGCAACTTAGTGTGAACAGTGAAGGCTGTTTGGTTCTACTTACAGCCAGCCATCAGCAACCAGTTGGCTAAATCATAGAAAGTGATGGACCATTTCCTGTGTCCAGCATGTCATCGCTTCCTGACTTCATTTCCCGTGTTCTTTCAAGCCTCTGTGCCTTAACTCAGTGGTTCTCTCCATTATGCCCTTCCCACCCTCCATCTCCCTCCAGTGACCTGCTGTTGCAATGTGCCCTTATCTGTGAAGCCTTCCCAATCCCCAGATTTCCACAGCATCTAATTTATCTTTTATAGCACTTGCTTTGGGCTGACTTCCAATAACATCTCTTCCCGTGGATTGGGGATGACTTGAAGGCAGGTGTTGAGTGGTCTTCATCTCCAGGTCCCCATAGTATGTCCTGCAAACCCATTATGGGCAGCATGTCAAAATGACTAGACTCCAATGCCTTCCATTCTTTCCCAGTCTCTTCCTCTTCCGGCTGGGATTGGCCCCTCAGATACAAGATCTATATGGGAAAGTGAAATTCACAGGTAAGCCCGGTTCCTTCCCCAACCACCACAGTTCTGTGCAGGCTCCTGGGGGTTCTGGGCCTGATGAAGGGCACCTGTGATATCATTGCAGCTGAGGAACTCAGCAACATGGCTTCTGAACTTGCCAAATATGGCCTTCAGCTGCCTGCCTTCAGCAAAATCGGGGGCATCCTGGCCAATGAGCTTTCGGTGGATGAGGCTGCAGGTAGGTACTGGGCTCTGCTCTGCTAGGAATAGGCTCAGTGGGAATGGGAGGACTGAGCCTCAGAGCCCGCAGGTGGATTCTGGGTACCTCTCATCCACAGGCAGGGCCATCAGGCTACCTGGTTATCCTGGCCTTTGAGGATGGACAAGGGATGATGTCAGAGTAGCTTGCAGCTGGACTGGGGTTTGTTCTGCCCTCCTGACCTTGTTTCTGTGCCCCCTCCCAGTTCATGCAGCTATTCTTGCCATCAATGAGGCAGTGGAGCGAGGGGTGGTCGAGGACACCCTGGCTGCCTTGCAGAATCCCAGTGCTCTGCTGGGGAATCTTCGAGAACCTCTGGCAGCCATCTATCAGGAGCTGCTGGCCCAGGCCAAGATGGAGAAGGCTGCCAATGCCAGGAACCGTGTAAGGAGGAACCTTGGAATTTAGGGGCTGAAAAGCTGGGTAGCTTGGAAAACCTTGAGTGAAACCAGGACTCCTATGTTCTGTTTCTAGGTTCCAAAGTTGCTTAGAGAAACTAACTTGTCAGTTATTTTGGAGAAATAGGAGAGGAACTTGGGAGAATAATGAGAACTCAGAAGAGAAGAGAAGAGGTTCTGGGGGGATAGATCTTCAGTGAGGGCTGAGAAAGACTGGAATGTAGAACTGAATGAGATTGGACTGGAGGTTCCAAAGGTTGGTTTGACCTAACTGTCAGTGCCAGAGAGCGGGATCCCACAATTTCCCCAGATTGCTTCCTACTAGGCTGACTTTTGGCCTTGGGAAGGCACCCAGAAAAAGAAATAGGTCTAGACAGGGAGGAAGTGGGAGAAGACTGACTCAATGTAGTATTTGCAGGAGGATGGAGAAAGCCAGGACATCTACGACTGCTGCCTAACTCAGGCTGAGATCCAGGGAAGCGTCAACCATGTCAACAGTAAGATAGGCCAGGAGGGGCTTTGGGGAATGCTTTCAGGATGAGCTCCTGCATTGGGAGGTTTGGGGATGGTTCTCAGGCCAGAAGACCCTAGGGCCTCACTGAGGCCAACCCTTATCTCAGGGAAAGATCAAAGTCAAGGCAGTGTGTGCTCTACTTTTTGGCTATCAGTATCTGTCAAGGGGGCTTCTGTTTCAATGGAGATTCATGGAGAGGACACGGGGTTCTTCAAGAAGGGGATGTGGAGAATGGATGGGGAGGAGGAGATCAGGGCAGGAGGGGCTGCTTGAAGGCTCAGGGTCTGGGGTGGTGACATGGGAAGGCTGTGCAGATCAAGCTGCAGAATTTGGGCTGGATTAGTTGGGCCCCAGGAACTCAGGGAGCAGGAGTGGGGGTAACTCTGGTCCAGCAGGAAGAGGGCAGACTTCTAGGGCTGGGCTGGGGATGGTGGCGGGGGCTTTCCCACATTGTCCATTATGGAATCTTGTCTTTTTCAGTCCATGGGGCTCTAGAAGTTGTTGATGATGCCCTGGAAAGGCAGAGCCCTGATGCTTTGCTTGAGGCCCTTCAAGACCCTGTCCTGGCCCTGCGAGGAGTGAGGAGAGATTTTGCGAACTGGTACCTAGAACAGCTGAGCTCAGACAGAGAGCAGAAAGCACAGGTCAGGCTCTCTCTATCACCTGCTGCCTCCGCTGTCTGACTGTAGGATGGGGGAGGGCCTCTTACTTAGGCATCACCTCTGTCAATTCTTTGTATCCAGTAGGTGCTGATTACATGTTTAAATGGTGAAGTCACCCCAAAGCTTAATGGACTAGACTGAACAACTTCTGTTCTCTGAGATTCTCAAACTGACTGGGGGACCTAGGAGCAGTTCAATAGCCAGTGTTAGGTTCCCCTACTGCTGAATTGGAACCTCAACTTAATAATCTTATTGTCAGTGCTGTTGACTTTCTCCCTGACACTATTTATATTCATGTTACCTGTGTTTTATTTTAGATGCTTGCTGGGTAATAAAGAGCCAGAGGTTAGAGATGAGTGAATAGGGATGGGTGGGCCAACTAGTCTGCCTAAATGGGAGAGGTGGATTGATGGTGGGTGACTGGGTGGATCTGGGAGCTCATGCTGACAACTCCTAAAGCAGTTCATGGCTCTTGGAGGACTCGTTTCTACTACCTCTTCCTTTTCCAGGAGCTGGGCCTGGTGGAGCTTCTGGAAAAGGAGGAGATTCAAGCTGGTGTCACTACTGCCAACATGAAGGGTGATCAGGAACAAGCCAGTAAGTCATCTTCAGGCTGAGGTCTGGCCTGGATGTGTCACAGGCTCTTGGAAGAGTACCTAGCCCGGCTGGTGTGGCTCAGCAGTTGAGCATCAACCTATGATCCAGGAGATTAGTTTGATTCCCAGGCAGGGCACATACCCCTGTCGTGGGCTTGATCCCCAGTAGGGGGCCTACAGGAGGCAGCCGATCAATGACTTTCTTTCTCGTCATTGATGTTTCTCTCTGTCTCTCCCTTACTCTCTCTGAAATAAAAAAAGATATATTAAAAAAAAGAAGAAGAACCCTTTGCCAGTTTCTGTGTAGCACAATGCAAACTGCTGCCTGATTTTCCAGCCTGGCAAGGGATTTCTCTCTTCTCTCACACAGTGTGCCCTATTCCTGGCTGCCTGGAGGGACACTACAGATAAGTTCATTAAGCTTTTAGAGATAATGACAGTACTGCATTGGGCTGCACTCTTAGGGTAGACAGTTTCCTTCTAGGCACTTCCCCTTTATTTTGACAGTTTCAACCTGCTAGAATTCCTTTGCTTTCTGAGATGTAGTTATCTCCCAGATGCAATGACAGCAATGCACCATGGGTATTTTTGTATCTTTATTTCTCCCCGGTAGCTTGTGTGCTCCTTGGTGCTAGTGCCCATATCCAGTTGGTGTTTTATAAGCCCTGGTGTTTCAAAACTAAAACTACATTGATGCACCGTGACCCCTTTTTTGCTTACTCCTGCCCTTAACAGCCTAAATAGCTCTACCTTGGCGCTGTTTTTTTATTTTTCTGTGCTGTCATCAAGATTTGATCCCCACTGGAACTCCTTGACTAACCTCATCTTAGTTAAGCTCCATAGCTTCCTGTCAATCTATGCTTACCACCTTAGGAACTGCCCTCTGCCATGACAGCCACTCCGTGTTACCTGCTGAGCTACTCAACTTCTAGGCCTGACATATTGCTTCTTCCAGAGCCTCTTAAAGTGATCTAGCCCCTTTTCCCCCTGAACAGTGAGAAACACATTTTGAACCTCGCAGAGTAGTTTTTAAGAGTAGTTACAAAGCCATTACCCCTCAGAGATCCCCAGCAGAACCTAATTAGCCAGGAGAGTAGAAATGGCTCTGAATGGCCAGCTTGTGCAGCCTCTCTTCTTCATCCCTTGCAGTGCTCCAGGCTGTGTGGAGGGTCAACAAAGCCATCCAGAAGGGAGTGGCAGCTGACACTGTGAAGGAACTGATGTGCCCTGATGCCCAGCTGCCTCCTGTCTATGCCTTTGCCTCAGCTATGTACCAGCAGGAGCTGGCAGTACTCCAGCAGCAGCAGGGGGTAAGCCCCAGATATGTGGGGTCTTGCTCTTGGGTCCCCAAGTGGCTGGAGGGATCAAGCCGTCAGCCTAGAGCACCCTCTGAGGGCACTCTTAGATGCTGGCAGAGATTAGGGGAGGAAGGAGGGTGACCAGGCTTGCCCCACTGAGTATAGTATAATAGCCAATATCCTTGAGCAAAGACTGCATTACACACTCATTTAATCCTTAAAAGAACCCTGTAAGTTAAGTATTATTTCCATTTTAGAGATAAGGAAACTGAGATGCAGAGGTTAAGCAACTTGCCCAACACAGGTGTAACTGTCAGTGTAGAGTGAATGCTAAGCTGAATGTACTGGCAGCCCATACTTTTAACAACTCTGCTGTCCCACTTCACCCTAGTCTATATAGCTTCTCTGACAATGGGGTGATAGAGCCCTCCCTTAGGGGGGATAGGCCTTTCCTAGTCTGTTAGAGGGTCTAGGCAGAGACACAGGGAGGGAAGAGTAGGTGATATAAGTGGAATATGACTTCAGACCAGAGAAATAAAGGGAGCAGAACTAGGGGTAAGTCTGGGAAGGCTTTCTGGAAGAGAGGAAGAGAATCGTACCCAGAGCAGGCTTTTATAGAGCATTGATTCCAGGCATGACTCTCAAGAAGGGCACAGTCTCAACACATCAACTAAGGACTAAGAGATAAAATATAGTGACTAAGGTTGCAGACTTTCAAGCCAGGCTGCCTGACTTCAATTTCGCTCTGCTACTTCTAGCCAAGTGACCTTGGGCAAGTTATTTACCTTCTCTGTTTCTCAATTCATATAATAAATGGGAATAATAATATATTTCATGAGATTGTTGGAAGGATTAAACAGGTTAGGAATGAGCCTGGCATGTGTTTGCTATAATTACTCACAGTATTCTGTTGTAGAGGACAGGAAGTGTGCTCCAGGCAGAGGGAAAAGCATACATAGATGTTTGAAAAAGAGAAGGACTGGGCAGGGAAATGGGGCTAGGGCCTTTGGGGTGTGTGCAGGTGGAGGTGCCCACTTCACCTTCCTGTCTGTGTGCCTGGGTCTTAGTGTACTTCTTTATGCGTAGAAGGGACCAGAAAGGGCTGGTAGAACTCACTAGTTGAGTGTGGTCTCTGGAATCAGGCAGCTGGGTTTAACTGACATTGCTTGATTATGGGCTCACCTGTGAGATGAGGGTATTAATGATACCTACCTCATGGCTTATTATGAAAACTAAATGATAATATGTGTGAAATACTTATACATTGAGCACATAGTCAGCATTCTCAAATATAAAGTATGATTGTTAGTGAAGGGGATTTGGGATAGAGACTGTGGGACATAGCAGAGTCTTGGGGGCAGGATGGCAGGTAGGCCCCAGACCCTTCACCAGCTCCCCCTATTGTAGGAGCTTGGCCAGGAGGAACTCTTCGTGGCTGTGGAGATGCTGTCAGCTGTGGTCCTGATCAACCAGGCCCTAGAGGCCAGGGATGCCAGGGGCTTCCGGAGCAGTCTGATGAACCCTGCCACAGGCCTGGCTGAGGTGGAAGGCGAGAATGCTCAGCGGTGAGAAAGGTTTAGCCCCGTGCTGAGAGTGGGGGGATGGAGGGGATGCAGCCAAGACCAAGTTCTACTTGGAGACTAGCCTTCTGCATGATGGCCTCTTCTTTCTGGGAGCGGGTGGGGCACAGTCATTCCCCTTTCCTCCATTCGACCACTCTTGCATCACCAGGATTTGATTATCTGCTCATGTGCCAGATACTGTTCTATGTGGGACCTACAGGGCATAAGTAATTACCATGAGAGGGACCTACAGGGCATCAGTAATTACCATGAGGCTGTTGGGGGCACAGGCTCTGAGAAGTGTACTTAGTATATTCAAAACACACCAGGAAGCCATCTGGCAGAGTGGCGTGAGGACGGGAGAATGGTGGGAGATAAAGTAGCAGAGGCCAGACAACATAGGCTCTGGCTTTTACTCCAGTGAGGAAGGAAGCCAGGGGGGTTTTGAGTGAGGAGGGAGATGATTTGATCTACTTTTAATAGGATCACTCTGGCTGCCGTGCTGAGAATTGAGAATTGATTACAGGTTAGAAGGGGAGAAGCAGCAAGACCTGTTAGAGTCGGTTGGAGTAACCCAGGCAGAGGCAATGGAGGCTTGGCCTAAGGCAGTAGCAGTGGAAGTGGTGAGAAGGAGTCACATTTGAGATATATTCTGAAAGTTGAACTGACAGGATTGGCTTACACAGCGGATATGGGATGTGAGAGAGACGAGTCAGATATGACTCCCAGATTTTTGGCCTGTGAGATTGGAGTGAATATTTACTGAGATGGGAAGACTGTGGGATACGCAAGTTGAGCAGGGGGATCAAGTGGTCAGGTGTGAGCTGTTGGATTTGAGGTGCTTATCAGGCATTCACATAGAGATGCCAAGGATGCAGCTGGGATTTATGAACGGGCTGGAGGTATGCTTTGGGGAGTTATTAGAATCTGATGTTTCAAGCTATGAGATGAGATGAGATGAGATGAGATGAGATGAGATGAGATGAGATGAGATGAGATGAGATCACCAAGGACATGAGCATGGCAAGAAAGGCAGCTTGAGCTTCTGGATACACCAGTGTTTAGAGGTCAGGGAGGAACCAGCATAGGAGGCTTAGAAAGAACAGCTGGCAAAGTGAGAGGAGAACCAAAGACTGGGATATCCTGGAGTCAGGCGAGGAAAGTAGTTCAGAAGTGTCCCCTGCATTCTGGCTGATGATGCACTGTTGCTCACCCTGCTGCCAGTTACTTTGATGCTCTGATAAAGCTGCGACAGGTACATGGAGTAGATGGGGCCTTCTTGAGCTGGAATGACCTGCAGGCCACTGTGAGCCAGGTCAATGCCCAGGTCCAGGAAGAGACTGATCGTAAGTGGAGTGTGGGGCTGGGGGAGGACAGCCTACTGCGGGTTGCCCTGTCTCTTCGCCATAAGTCTGGGCCCTCTGCCCACCTAGATCTCTTTCCCAGAGGTCCTCGCGGTTAGCCTCATCAATGAGGCTCTGAACCAGGACAGCCCTGAGAAGACCCTGTCCGCCCTGCTGCTTCCCTCAGCTGGCCTGGACAATGTCAGCCTCCCTGTCGCCCCTCGGTACCATCTCCTCCTCGTGGCAGCCAAAAGGCAGAAGGCCCAGGTGAGGTTTGGGCTGTCTGAGTTGGCCAATAGAACAAGAAGAACATCCCTTATGGTTAGGGCTGTGACCACTATGCATCATAGGAGTACCTGATGAACAGTCCCTTCTGGGGGTGGAGAATAGGAGGGGTTCTGATCTAGCCATGGGAGAAGATGGCCTCCTTGGCCAGGGCACTGACAGCACTCTAGTTGCCAGCACAGAGAGAATGGTGGGGCCTTGTGCTTGGGAAGAGCAAGGCCTGGGAGCCAGAGAGCTAGGCTGGACATATCCTCCTCTGACATTAGTAACCATGTGACCTCCAGCAAATCTCTAATGTCTCTGAGCTCCACTTACTCATCTATAAAATACTACATGATGTGTTCCCACCTACCTCCTGGAATGGGGGTAAAAATCAAATGAATTGAAGAATGTGGCACATGTAGTATTTCCACTACCTTGTGTGGTAGAGAAGTGTGGGAAGGAGAAGGTGAAGGTTGGGGTCAGATTGCCCTGAGAAGGTATGAATTGAGGCATAGGGTAATGGGGAGTAGGGGCAGGTAGGTGGAGCCTGCAGTGTTGGCTCTCTCTAGGCATGGCTCAGGCACAAACTCAGGGAAGTGAGCTGTTGACAGTGTGGTGGATACTGAGGTAAGTTTAAGAGGGTTCTGGGGATGCTGTGGCCAAGCTGAATTGATGTTGGGCAAGCCTGAAAACAGGTAGGAAGGAGCCTTCTGAGGGCAGAGTCCCAGAGAGCCACAACGTCATACCTAAGCAGGGCAAGAGGAGGGGAGTGGAGACTACCGTCCGTGTGGCTCCCAGTGTCAGCTGCAGTTGGGTTCACTGGGCGTCCAAACCTGGGTACCAGGGAGACCATTTTGGATTCTTCTCCTATCTCTCAATTTTCCAGAGGACGAGAGATCCTGGAGCTGTGCTATGGCTGGAAGAGATTCGCCAGGAAGTGGTTAGAGCCAACCAGGACACAAACACAGCTCAGAGAAGTAAATGGGCTGGGTAGAGGGCAGCCAGGGTGGAGGAGAGGGAAGAAGCTGTGGGCTCAGCAGGAGCCCAGGTAATCAGGGCCTCCCCAGTCACCTCTGTCTCCCTTTCAACCTCTTTGGGAAAGTGGGCCAGAATCAGAACAGGAGGGTTGCTGCTTGGACCATAGGATGGATTACCCAGCAGTCACGGGGCAGGACAACGTCAGGGGTTGAGAGTGTATTGTCTACCCACTGCGTCCTTCTGTGTGGGCACTTTCCCCTACAATGCGAGCATGTGAAATCAGGTGGGGGCCAAAAATTTGTGCCATTTGCTATTGGTAGCTTGTTTGGGTTCCAACAGTCAGCTCTGGCTAGAGAATGTTTAGTCTTGAGTGTAGAGAAGACTACACTCAAGATTGGCTTTGAGGAAAAGTAGGCAGGATCAGTACAAATAGACACAAATGTGTTCTGTGTCTGGAGTCCCTATGTCCATCTGTCTGTCTGTGAGTGACTGGAAGGCAGGTGCTGCATCAACTACCTCCACTTGGACTTTACTCTCTTCCTAAGAAACTGTCCTGCGATTATATGCCCATATCCTGCCTTTCACCTTCTGTACAAGCTGACTTTCCTTTTACCTAGCCTAACCCATGCTACCTCTCCAGGACGCCTTCCTTGACTGCTGTCTATTATTTCAAGCATAGCTGCATACTGCTTTCATGTATCTGCATCAATCCTGGGATATTCCCTGTCCTCTCCATCATACGGGGTGTTTTTGTGTCCTCTGAATCCCTTACGGGTGGCCAGGAGGGACTCAGGGAAGGATTGACCACCCCTTTCTGATGCCTCTTCAAGTGGCTCTTGGTGTGGCTGCCATCAATCAGGCCATCAAGGAGGGCAAAGCAGCCCAGACAGAGCGGGTGTTGAGGAACCCCACTGTGGCCCTCCGAGGGGTGGTTCCTGACTATGCCGACAGCTACCAGCGAGTCCTGGAAGGTGCCATGGCAAAGAAGAGGCGCCCAGGTAATGGCCCTAGCCTGACCCCCAAGTCTCTGCCTGCCTCAGCCACCTCTGACCTCCACTGACTCTTCTTTGCTTACTTGGCTTCTGCTTAGGGGACACAGCTTTCTGGGTTCAACATGACATGAAGGATGGCACCGCCTACTACTTCCATCTACAGACCTTCCAGGGGACCTGGGAGCGACCTGTTGGCTGCCACCTCAACACCTCCCACCTGACTCGGGAGGAGATCCAGGTTGGCAGTGCCCGTGCAAGGGAGGGGACCGTGATGAGGGATCCCCTGTGAGAGAGGCTCCCACCCACCAGGGTACCACAGGCTCTCTCTCTTGCCTTCATAGTCAGCTGTCACCAAGGTCACTGCTGCCCATAACCGCCAACAGCTCTGGAAGGCCAACGTCGGCTTTGTCATCCAGCTCCAGGCCCGCTTCCGCGGCTTCCTAGTGCGGCAGAAGTTTGCTGAGCGTTCGCACTTTCTGAGGACCTGGCTCCCAGCAGTCATCAAGATCCAGGTGGCAGGCTCTGACTTTCTTAGGGTCTGGACTTACTGAGCTTCATGGTTCCCTCACTACTTCCTTTATGCTGAGTGGGTTTGGGACGATCTTTTGGTCTCTGAACATACTGGTTAAGAGCACAGATTCTGGACCCCAGACTACCTGGGTTTGTATCCCAGCTCTGTCACTTAGGACAAGTTTCTCTGTTTATTCATCTGAAAAATAGGAATCTGGAAATTGTAGCACCCATATTATAGGGTTGTGAGGATTCAGTGAGATAATATCTAAAGTACTTTAAAACAGTGCCTGGCAGATAGGCGAGAACATGGCATAAGTGCTAGTTACTATCACCACCATCACCATCCAGAGGGTATGAGAGCTGCTTGTTAGCTTCCCCACGGGGAGAGTGGAATAAGATTTAGTAGGATATCAGGGTTTAGACCCCAGGAGGACTTCCTACAAGAATAGGAGGAGTGAAAAGAGGGTGGTGGTTAAACAGAAAAGGGGTGGAATAGCTCTTAGGGAAAGAACTTCTACCCTTTCTCTTTAGCCAGTCCTTTCCAGTTTTATTCTTGCAGCCTGTGGCTGGTCCACTGTGACCTCTAAGACTGACCCACAAGTATCTGGGACCTGAGGCCAACTAGAAAGATAGGCCTGAGGCCTGGGCACTTTGCAAGCCAGGAATGATGGGAATTGAGCAAACAGAGACCTCCCCAGGTAGATGCGACCTGGAGGGCCTCATGGAGATGTTGGCAGTGTAAAGATACTTTATTTAATGAACATCTCTGAGTGCCTAGTATCCGCAAAGGCTGCCACTGGCACTGGGCAGGGGTGGGAGATGGAGGAGAGACACAGCTGATTGATCACATCTCTCCCCTTGCAGTAACTGGAATACAGCTGATGTTAGACATTGTAATAGTAGAGACACAAAGACAACCTCAGAGCATCCCAGGGAGACAGATGCACAGGCTGAGACTGGCAAATGGCCCTCAATTATGGATTAAGATGTAGGGCATGTGGGTGGTAATTGAGAGCTCAGGCTTTGGAGTCAGAGGCTGGAGTTTGCCTCCTGCTCCTACTATTTCTGGGTCCCGTGACCTCGACCACCCTACCTAAGCCCTCTCCAACACCGTTTCCTCATGCATAATGATGGTACTCGCCTAATCTGAGGATTAAGTAGGGAAATTACATGTAGCACTTAGTGCAGTAGGCGCTCCATTGGTGGTAGCCATTATGAGTTGCTAAATTTCAGGGCATCAGTCCCAGAACTCAGTACAGAACCTTAGTCATCAACATTTAGTGGTCTGAATCATAGGGATTCCTCCTATGAGCACAGGCTGGAATTTCACACCAACTTTCTAAGGAGCCAAAAAGCCACACCAACAGTGGGCGGATAGAGTCATTTGCTGCCAGTACTGGTGCTATGTGGGCTCAGCCTAGGTCCTAGGAGACAGAGGGAGAGGTAGCACAGAGCCTCAGGCCACCTGCCCTCCAGCTGCGGAGAAGGGAGATTCAGAAATGAGCCCGCTTGGGTGTGCTGAGACTGATCTCTCCTGAAAGCTCCCACATCATTCAGGACCCTAGTCAGAGTCCTAAATTCCAACCAACCTAGATTGGGAGGCCCCCTCTTTAAGGAGGAGCCATGTGAGGTGAGCAAGGGCAAGAGCAGAGAGACCTCTCTGCCTTTCACTCCAGCAGCTTTCCAGAGGGTATGTCTGCAGTACCTGGAGTAGAAGAGGAAGGAGTGCTGAGGAAAGACATGAAAACGGGCCCTCCTAGCCTCTAGGCTCCAAGAGGGACAAACAGCTGGTGTCATAGGGCCAAGCTGTCTTTTACATCCTGTCCCAACAGAGGGACAGTGGAATCCTTAGGCTAGGGAAAGGCTAGCCAGGAGAGTCGGCTTTAAGAAGGCCTGGGAGGACAGTTGGCTGCAAGGGGATGCTCATAACCCACCAAACTGTGACATTGTCAGTGGTAGAGTGTTCTCCAGGGCTGGAGCACCAGGAGGTATTTGACATGGGCCCTAAAAGACAGGAAGAATTTCAGAGGGTAGAGATAAGGCTGGGAGCAAGGGTGGGCCTGAACAAAGATTCTGGGCAGAAAAAATCATAAAATATTTAGAAGAAAGTGGAATGTCTGATGTGGCTAGAATTCTTAAGAGGGTAGGGACCAGTAGAAAATCAGATGGGAGTGTGGGGTCAGGTGGTTGAGAACTCTGGGAACTTTGGGGCTGAGAGAGACATAGTCCAAGTGGTTCTTTAGGAAAATTAATCTTACACAAGCTTGGGGTGAAAGGGAAGAGGCCCCTAGGAAGGAGACCAAAACAGAAGGGCATCATGAGATTTATGTCTTAGAGACCAAAGGGGGTGTGATTTATGGAGGAAATGGTCCCTTGAACCCTTTGTAGCAGACCTGTCAGGGGGATAGGCCATTAGCCTGACAGCTGAATTACTAGGGACCTTGGAGAGAAGATTTACTTAGAGCAGGGGATATGTATGGTATAATTGTAAAGAAAGTAAATTATGAGAGTATTAGTGACCTGCTGCCCACTGGTAGAGATGGTGAGCACACTACTGTGCCTGTGCACACTTTACATCCATGCCACCATGTGCCTCCCCAGACTGTGCATGTGAGGGGGGATGGAGAGAGTGATGGTGTGTGGATGGACTCTAAATGGGTGGATGAGTGTGTAGGTGTACACTTTATTAATTTCTTTTAAGCCTGTATCTTGCAGTTGAGTTGCTGTGAGGCGGTGTTGGTTGGCATGGGTATGTGTGCCTGATTGTATAATGCACAGGTACGAGCTGGTACCAGGGAGTGTGGTGGAGGGCATGGCTGGCTATGTGCAGGTGTTTGGTCTCCCCCATGAAATTGGAAGTTCTTTGAGAACAGGGCCAGTTTCCCCTTCCCCCTCCACTTGCCTGACCCCACCCTTCCCTGAAGAGCCCAGGACAAGGCTTTTGTACAAGCCTCACAGGCCAACAGGGACCAACCAGGGTGACTTCTTTTTCTGTCCTAATGTGCAGGCTCTTTGGCGGGGTTACAGACAACGGAAGATTTACTTGGAACGGTTGCAGTATTTAAAAGCAAACACAGATGCCGTAATCAAGGTAGCTATCACGATTTACGCAGGTTCCTGTCTCTCTTGAAAGATCTTCTGGGAAAAGTTTTTTAGTCCTCTCACCAACTTGTGATCTTTGGAGATGGCTGAATTGTCCTGAGTCTGAGGGAAGTGTCTCTCTTTTCCCAGATTCAGGCTTGGGCCCGGATGTGGGCAGCTCGGAGGCAATACCGTAGGCGTCTGGACTACTTCCAGAAGAATGTGAGTGTCATCCTGTGCCCCCTGTCCCTATACCCAGCCTTTACCCATGAAACCAGGGCAAGGGCAGTCAGTGACCCTTTTTCTATCTGTGTTCATGGCAGGTTAACGCTGTTGTGAAAATCCAGGCATTTTTCCGAGCTAGGAAAGCCCGGGATGACTACAGGATGTTAGGTAAGCTGCCTGGTCTTTCTCTGCATTGTGAGTAAACTGCCTGGCTTTCATCCCCTGTCTCTGAGTGTCTCTGCTGTGCAAGTCAGATGATTTTCAACAGTCAGCAAGACAGAAAGTCACCCCACCCCACAACTTACAAAGTGGGACCTTGGAGGAGTTATCTGGCCCTCTTCAGCCCTTTTCTCTCCTTGACAGCTGCTGTCCCAAACCTTGAGTATGTCTTAGGACCTGGAGTTGGAGTGGATAGAACAGTGAGGAGATGTGCCCTGCCTTTGGGAATCCCCCAGTTTGATGGGACAAATAGGGATCCCCCCCAGAGTCAGGCAGGTCTAGATATTCCTTCTGAGGCTACACAGCAAGTAAGGGGGAGGTACAAGTTGTCTGTGCAAGAATGTCAAATGGGTATGGTAACAGAAGCCACCCTGCCCACCCAAATAAGAGAAAGCCTGGTCACAGGGACAGTTCCTCTAATCAGGTTCATTATATACCAGGCTTTAGTTATCTTTCCATGGCTACCACCAAAGCCACACAAAAAAGAAAAGGATCTTTCTCCTCTCCCTGGAGTTCAAGCCTCCTCCTGCTTTGCCCTCTCCCTGCCTATGACCCTTCTACCTGCTGACCGCTGTGGTCTAGCACACAGGAACCAGGTGGGGTTCATGGAGTCCTTTCTGCAGTGCTGGGGAACTTGAAAGAGTCCATCTTCCTGCCCCACAGTTCCCAGTGATGGCGTGTGCGTTTCAAGCTTTAAAGAAGTCCTTCTAGGCTGCTCTTGGCTCCTGTCCACGGTCCAGAAGCTCAGCCCTGGAGTCCTCCTCCTTGTCTTGAGGTGGACTAGTGGTTCATGTCCAGGTTCCTGAAGAAGTTGACCCCTTTCCTTTCTGGGCCTGAGCTTACAGTCCTGGGCTCCAAGTTGAATACGCTATTCAGGAGTCATCTCCTTCACCTTCTCAGTCCTTTGTCCCACCCTGTCCTGCCTACGGGGGCACCACCGTCTTCCCTCTGGCCGCAGACTCAGCCCATCTGCCCCCAGGCTGCCAGCTGCTTTTCCTCCTTACTTCCCCCAGCCTGGCCCTTTCTGTTCTGCTCTTGCTGTGCACTAATAACGCAGCCCTGGCCATCCTTTACCTTCTTCTCTTTAGTTTATAGTTTTCGTGGAAGAACTCTGTCCCTGGTCCTGTCTCCCAGTTCCATTATCCCAAGCTTCACTCGGCACTAGCCATGTAGCCCTAGCCAAATTACTTGACCTCTTTATTGCCTCAGTTTTCTCATTTATAAAATGGGGATAATGACAGTACATATCTTGTAGGGTTGTTTGGAAGCCTAAATGAGTTAATGAACCATGTTTCATTGAATCCAGATGCTCTCAGTGGTCTTTGATTCCACCATTCTTCAGTCCTCCAAGGTCCCCGCTGTGCAGTAACCAGATTAATCCATAACCTGTCCATGTGATCTGGTCATTCTCCCCCTTAAATCCTGTCAGCAAATCCCATTTCCCTGGGCATAAAGCCTAGTCTTCTAACCACAGCTTCCAAGGCTCTCTGTGATCCAGCCTCTACCTGTGCCTCTGGCCTCGCTGACCCCTGGCTTCGTCCCTCACCACCTGCACCCTCTGTGCTATGCTCCAGACATGATGGACTCCTGGCACTTCCTAAAACAGCCATGTTCACTCACTCTCACCTCCTTTTCACAGTCATTAGGGTGAGAACCTTACCTCCTCTGGGAAGCTTTTCTTCATTCGCCAGGTGGGTTTGGGTGGCCGGTTTTTGTTTTCCCAAAGGTCCCCATGCTCACACCTCTGAAAACATTAGCCACACTGTCGTGAATTGTGGTTTCTTTGTCTAATTCCCTTACTGGACAGAGCCTAGTTTTATGCACTTTCCACATCTGACTCTTTCATTTATTACTAGCTGTGTAAACTAGGGCAAGTTTCTTACCCTCTCTGCGCCTCAGTGGTCTCACCGATTAGTTTTAGTATACTGACCTCACAGGGCTGCTTTAAGTGTGTAAAGCAGTTTCTGCCCCATAGTGAATATTACATGTAGTAGCTTGGTTGTTATTCCCTGCAGCTTAGCTCAGAGGCTTCTCTTTGCTCAGATACCCTTTTCAATAGAGGTTCTGGGAGAAGCACCATCTAGCTCTGACCTCCCTATAATATAAAACCCATCAGACATCCCTTCTGCTGCTGCTCCTCCCTGACAGAGGAGGGTTGTGTGAGAGTTAGGGAGGGCTCAGTGGAGGCCAAGAGGTGGAAGTGAATTTGGGATGAAGGATGAGAGCAAGTTAGCTCAGCAGGAGTGGGTTGTAAATCAGAATAAAAGGGCCCCGGGGGATCATCCGAGGGAGCTAGGGCTCTGACTTTGGTGTGGAGGGTACTGGGATAGGCCCAAGTTGGGGGTGAATCCACAGGCAGGGCAAGGACAGCTCGTCCTCATATCATACCTGGTTAATAAGGAGCTCAGGGACAGGACTGACTAGGAGGCTGCCGATTGCCCTCCAGCTACAAGCAGAACCAGCTAGGGTTTAAGGGCCTGCTGGCCTCAATCAGAATGGGGACTGAGGGTGGGATAACTAGGGTAGGGGGTGGGTGGGGAAGCCTCTGGTGAGGGCATGTCTAACCCGGATTCCTCTTTCCTTCCTGCCAGTCCACACGCCCCATCCTCCTCTCAGCGTGGTATGCAGATTTGTCCACCTCTTGAATCAAAGCCAGCAGGACTTTTTGGCAGAGGCAGAGCTGCTAAAGCTCCAGGAAGAAGTGGTCAGGAAGATCCGGTCCAACCAGCACCTAGAGCAGGACCTCAATCTCATGGACATCAAGATTGGCCTGCTGGTGAAGAACCGGATCACCCTGCAGGTGAGGGGACTGCCGGCCCACCTTCTACCCCAAATCTGGCTGCTTCTGGAGCAGTGATACTGGACATTCTCTGATTGCTAAACCAATATTTTTAAATGTCTGGATTTTATCACCTGGCTCAGGTCCTTAGTCCAGAGGTCCTCTGTCCTTCTAGTAATTTGTTGGGCACATGCGATATAGTAGAAAGAGCATTGGACGTAAAACTGGAATGCCTGGCTCTGCTGCTGCTTAGCGATGGTACTGTGGCTGTAACCTGAGTGTGTTTCCTCATTAGTAAAGCGGGAATAATGAGAAGGCCCACCTTGGCTGCAGACAGCCATACAGACATGCAGGGATGGGGTAAAAGCACTCTCACCACTTAAATTTGTGCAGCAGTCCAATAAGAACTAGGCGAGCATTTTAGACCTTGCTTCCTGGTAATTGTTGTCAGTTGGTCCAAATAAACACTTATAAAAATTCAAAAACAAAAGAAGAAAAAGAACTAATAGCAAAACCAGTGGACGTGATGCCTCAGCCTGGCAGCCTAGTTTTCTTTGGGGACCCACCCTGTGAGAGCAGGGGTGCCAGGTGGAGTTTTGGGCCAGTAGGAGGGGCCCTTCCTCACCCTAGAACTGTTTATCTCCCTTGGCTCATGCCTTGAATACCTTGAACAGCAGAAAGCCCTGGCTCTTCCAGGCGCTGATTCTAGACCATATGTTCTGTGCTCCGGGCTGGCCTGGGCTGGCTGCATCATCCGCTTCCCCACCCCTGCAGGAGGTGGTCTCCCACTGCAAGAAGCTGACCAAGAAGAATAAGGAACAGCTGTCGGATCTGATGGTCCTGGACAAGCAGAAGGGATTAAAGTCGCTGAGTAAAGAGAAACGGCAGAAACTAGAAGCTTACCAAAACCTCTTCTACCTGCTCCAGGTGAGCAGAGGACTTTGGAAGGAGATGTCGCCACCATCTCCTGAGGGCCTGGGACCTTGAGGCCTTCAGGGCGGTGCTTTTGCCTCCATGTGACATGTACTTTCCCATAATCCTAATGCCTTACCCCCTGAGAAAGAGACTGTTTCCTCCCATTTGTCTGAAATGTTTCTAGTGTCCTTGAGAAATTGTGACAGTGCTTTCTCCATTCCAAGTTCCCATCAGGAAAACCTTCCTTTATCTGATCACTAGTCCTCAAAGTGCCTGAGCAGTCATTCCCATCTCCCCCATTACTTGCAGACTCAACCCATCTACCTGGCCAAGCTGATCTTTCAGATGCCACAGAACAAAACTACCAAGTTCATGGAGTCAGTGATTTTCAGTTTGTATAACTATGCTTCCAACCGCCGCGAGGCCTATCTCCTGCTCCAGCTGTTCAAGACTGCGCTCCAGGAGGAAATCAAGTAGGTTTTCCAGATGCAAAGGAATGGAAAGAGAGCAGGTTAAGAGATCTTATTGTTGGTTCCTTCATAGGGTAGGTATTTGTTGAGGTTTGCGGGTAGGAATGGAACCAGGAAACCTTTTTAGTCTACCTCCTGTGAAGTGACTATAAGACATCTCCTAGGACAGCAGGGTGGGAGGACATGGGCTGCCATGTTAGCTCAAAGGATGAGCTAGAGCAAACAGGACATTTTTAGGAAGAGGGACATCAGAGCAGGTTTTGAAGAGCCAAAATCTCAAAAAGGAAAAGCAACTGATTGTCCTACGCAGAGGCGGGAGGCCAGCTTCAATGACCTCTTGAACCACAGGTCAAAGGTAGAACAGCCCCAGGACATGGTAACAGGCAACCCAACCGTGGTGAGACTGGTGGTGAGATTCTACCGTAATGGGCGTGGACAGAGTGCCCTGAGGGAGATCCTGGGCAAGGTTATCCAGGACGTGCTGGAGGATAAGACGCTAAGCGTCCACACAGACCCTGTTCACATCTACAAGAGCTGGATCAACCAGACGGAGGCCCAGACAGGGCATCGCAGGTGAGCAGATAGGAGAGGACAGAGGGAGAGCTCTCTTTGATCAGTTCTGTCTTGGGCCTCATTGGGGAAGCTTGGGTGTGCTTTGAAGGTAAATGAGCATGCTGATTTATGCAAATATGACACCAGCCCTATAGGATGAAATAAGGTAGCCTTTCAGACCCCCTCTGGTAATTAACATGGAACTGATGTAAATGACACTGGACCTGGTGTGCTTGACATAGAAAGAGCAGCACAGATGAATATGCATATTTGTTTAATTGCCATGTCAGTACTTGTAAATGATATCAGATTTGCTGGGAGTTGGGATATGGCCTACTTATTGATAGGGGTATAGATGAATATTCAGATTTATGATGAATAGGCAAATGAGATAGTGGGAGAAATATGTTGGCCTTATAGATTAGAAGCATTACTCAGATGCTTACGTACTAAGGAGATGGAACCACTGAGGAGAGCAGGTAGTGCTGGTGGTTTCTCCCAGTGGCACACAGGCTTGTAGGTGGGGGGACTGCTCGGCCCTGGCCCAGCTTTCCCTATTGCCCTAACTGCCAAAAACTAGATGCAGGGCAGCTCTGGTGTCCTCATTTCCCCTTAGGAGTCTTTCCACAGTCTTTCCCTTCTACACTCTTCCACTTCCCCGTGGGTACTCCAACTCTTTCTTCTTTACTTTCCACTCACGTGGCTCCAGTCCTTTCTGAGTCCTTTCCCTTATTCTGGCCTCATCCCCTTAAGCATGCTGGGCTGCCCTTAATGTGTGTATATGAAACCCTGTTGTTAGATGAAGAGTTTAAGGGGGAGGGCTTTGGGAGAGGAGGCCATGGGAAGGGGCTCTGGCTGATACCTTGTCTCTCTCTGCCCACAGCCACCTCCCCTACAACGTCACCCCAGAGCAGGCTTTGAGCCACCCTGAGGTCCAGAGACGACTGGACATCTCCCTTCGCAGCCTCCTCACCTTGACTGATAAATTCCTTGTAGCCATCATCTCATCTGTGGACCAAATTCCGTATGTGCAACAGCCCCACCCCAGCCTAGGCCAGGCCATGATGGGAAGAGCAGAGCAGTTCTGAAAGGGTGGGGCAGGAAAGGAAGGGAAATGTGGCTGGGGGTGCTCTAGGGCTTCTAGGAGATGAGTGGAGAGAGTGCATGAATACCCTGCTAGACTGAGCTGGAATACAGCATGCAGGTCTGTATGTGGCCTGTCAGGACACCATTGGAGCCAGAGAAGGGAACATCAAGTGATTATGAGGATATATTATTGTCTGAGAGCAAATGCGGGGAAAAATAGGATTCAGTCCATAAAGTCAAAAATAAGAAATACTTCAAACCAGTAAGCACTTTATAGTTCTCTCCTTTCTTAAAATTTATTCAGTAAGGGGTTTTTTGAAAAGCAAATGATTACAAATGTTGACAAGGTGACCCTCATCCAGGTCATTATTTAGCCAGCCAGCCTTCCTGGTGCTCAGAGCTGCAAGAGGCAAGGTGGGGATGCAGGTGGGAACCCAGAGTTTATAACTCTGCTCCCCAAACCTGGAGAACTGGATTAAGTTTACAGTTAGAATTCAGAAAAGATTGTCCTAGATCTAATAAAGGAAAGTACACAATGAGCTGTAAACTTCTGTTTCTGCTACCCTAGGAGATCGAAATAGCTTTTAAACAAATCTAAAGAAATTTGTAGGTGGTACATCCATAATAAGAATAATAAAAAATAATAAGCGAGTCTGGCGTGTTTGACTCACACTCTACCATTATACATTACTGTCACAGACATAATTCCACTTGGTCTTCACAGAAACCCTGTGAAAGAGAGAGGACAAGAATAATCATCCCCGCCCTGGCCGGGCAGCTCAGTTGGTTAGAGCAACATACCAATAGGCCAAGGTTGCGGGTTCGATCCCCGGTCAGGGCACATACAAGAATCAACCAATGATGCGTAAATAAGTGGAACAACAAATCAGTGTTTCCTTCTCTCTCTCTCTCTCCCCTTCCCCCCTCCCTTCATCTTTCTTTAAAGTCAATAAACATATCGTCAGGTGAGGATAAAAAATAAATAAATAAAATCGATAAATTTAAAAAAAAAGAAAGAAGAATCATCCCCATCTTCCAAGACCAGGGAAAACCTCTAAAGGGGAAGAAAATGGCCTAAGCTGATATCTCGGGTTAGTGGTAGTCAGGACTGGAGCCCTCCCCCAGCTCGTGGTTGTCCTGGCCCTGCCTCGCCCAGGCCAGGGTCTTCGCAGGTGCTCTGTGACAGCCGACAGGGTTGGCCACCTCGGCGCCTCCCGGGCTGTCCTGGGGCAGGGTTCTGGTGTGAGTGTCAGGCGCCCAAGGTACGGGCTAAAGGTGCCTCTGGAGGAAGGCAGGGTAGAACTGGGGTTTGGGGGGCCCCCAAGGGGTACTATGGGGCCAAAGATGAGACTCTCAGGCCAGGTGGGAAACAGAGCCTAGTGGATGAGTGGGCCCTGGTCTTGGGTTATTCACATGAGCAGGAGGGAGGGACAAGGTCCAGAGATGTTTGGAGGAGGGCATCAGAGAGCTGGCTGTAGAGGGCCAGTGCTAATGCTCAGCTCTAGGGTGGCTGAGCCTGGGGAGGGAGAGGCAGGCAGGTACTCATGACCTGAACTCTGGTAGAAATGGGCAGGAACAAAGTACACCAATTGCTTTGTTCACAGCTATGGGATGCGATATGTGGCGAAGGTCCTGAAGATGACTCTGGCAGAGAAGTTCCCTGATGCCATGGAAAACGAAGTCTATAAGGCAAGTGTTGTCTCCTCCCCAACATCCTTGGCTGTCCTTTCCCTAGTGGTGCCTATGAACCCCCAGACTGAGACAAGAGGAGAAAAACCCCTGTACTGTAAAAACGCAAGAAGGAAACTTGACCCTGGCTTACCAGCAGGGCTTAAGTGGCAGATGGAAAGGCAGCTGGGACATGAACTGGCAGTGGATAACCCTAGACTTGTCAGGAGATCTGGGTTCTAGTCCCACCTCTTGCTCAAGTTTACTGTGTGACCTTGAGCAAGTTGCTGTCCTGCTCTAGGTCTTGTTTTCTCTTCTGTAAAATGACAAGGTTGGCCCAGATGGTCCTTTCTAGCCACATGAGCTGGGTGGGTGGGGCCAGGGCTGCCAAGGCAGACCCCAGAGCGCTTCTGAGATGGTCTCCTCTGCCCTCAGGTGGTAGGGAACCTCCTGTACTACCGATTCCTGAACCCAGCCGTGGTGGCCCCTGATGCCTTTGACATTGTGGCCATGGCAGCAGGCGGTGCCCTGGCCACCCCCCAGCGCCACACCTTGGGGGCTGTTGCTCAACTCCTGCAGCTTGCCGCAGCTGGCAAGACCTTCTCTGGGGAGAGCCGGCACCTGCAAGTCTTGAATGACTACCTAGAGGAGACGTACATCAAGTTCAGGTCTAGGGTCCTGGCACCCTGTTTTTCCCTGTCCCCTTTTTCTTATCTTTCATGTCCCACTTTCTCTCTCTGGAATCCATGAGGAAGAGAGGCATGGGGTGAAGAGAATAGTTACTGGGCTGGAGGGGAGATTGTTGGAAGGACTCCCGAGTGGAGAGATAAGAGGACTATTGAAGGAAGAGGTTTGGGGGGAATTGGGAGAGAAGTAGGGCAGGACAGTGGTGGAGCTGAGACTGGAGAGTCAGAGTTGGCTTGAACAGTCACTGGAGAGGGCCAGGGGAAGGGCTGTGGGAACAGAATATGTGGGGGTGCTGACCCACCCCACTCTCTCACATGCTCTCCCCGTGGAGATAGGAGGTTCATCTGCCGAGCCTGCCAGGTACCAGAGCCAGAAGAGCGCTTTGCAATGGACGAGTATTCAGACATGGTGGCTGTGGCTAAACCCGTGGTGTACATCACTGTGGGGGAACTGGTCAACACACACAGGGTGAGGGGCTGCAACCTGGGTGGGGGCTGGGTAGGTGGATAGGGCTATGGAAGGCCACGCTATGGTGTAGGGTGGACCCTTGAAGGGAGGCCTGGCTCAGACCTTGCATCTCTTTCCTTCCTCCATGCTGCAGCTGCTGCTGGAGCACCAGGACTGGATCGCTCCTGACCACCATGACCCCCTACATGAGCTCCTGGAGGACCTCGGGGAGATGCCCACTATCCATGACCTCATTGGTGCGTGCTGAGGCAGCTGGGGCCTGCAGGGAGAGAGGGACAGGCAGGTGGGCAGGGCATGCTTACATGCCCTCTATAGAGTTTTTGTTCAGTCTGGGATGTGTGCCAGGAAGCTGGTTACACACTCATCCTACCTTTCCCTCTGGTTGGGAGGTGGACACATGGACACAGACTGATATGGAGAGAGTAGACAGACAGTAGAGAGACCCAGTATCATCATATAAATGGCCAATTAAATCACGTGAGATAGCCCTGGCTGGTGTGGCTCAGTTGGGCATTGTCCTGTGCACCAAGAGGTTGCCAGTTAGATTCCCCATCAGGGCATATACCCAGTATTCAGGCTCGATCCCTGCTGGGGGTGTGTGTAGGAGGCAGCCGATCGATGTTTTGCTCAGGATTTCAGGAGTTATGAAATGGGAGGAAGCTTATTACAGGGGTGAAAAGGCCGAACAGAGGTGCTGACAGATAGGAGAGAGCCAGGGGATCCAGGCTCAGGGAGATACAGCCCCCTGCCCTCAGGGCACCCAGGCTGAGGCTGTTGGGGAGTCATGTCTCCAGTAACACACGGGTAGGATCTGTGGGTAACAGCCCTCCCATTGGTGCTCAGGGTTGAAGGCACAGGGTGGTGCCACGAGTCAGTGTGGGAAAGCTTCCTGGAAGAGGGGTGCATGGAGCAGCTTATATTCCATGACCCGCTCCCATTTCTCATCCTACCTCAGGGGGAAATGTAGCTGCAGATGGGAGCATGGATCTGAGCAAGGTAGAAGTGTCCCTGACACTTACCAACAAGTTTGAAGGGCTAGAGACAGATGCGGATGATACCAATGCCCGGAGCCTTCTTCTGAGGTGAGAGTGGCCTTGTCCCCCTGCTGACCTGAGCTTTCCCCCTAAGGCCAATAAAGTGGCCTACACAGAAGTAGCCATTCCACCTTCTTCCTGGGCTCTCCTGTCCTTCAGAAAGTTCTCCCTGAGGCCTAACTGGCATTCCCCTTGCTGCCATCTCAGCTGTTTTCCTCTGGCAGCCTCAGCTGTTATAGCTGAAGGCAAAGGAATAGATAGGATATTGGCAACAATGATGTTTATGTATTGTTGTGCTGTTTATCAAATGCTTTTTTATATGTTATCACTTAACCTTAGTAACAAACTGCGTTACAGTTGAGGAAAGAAGTTAGGGGTTAAGTGACTGCCCAGAGTCCCATGGCCAGTTGTGATGGAGCTTGTGTTCTAATTCCCTGTTGTTGCCAAGTGATGGTCAGGAGATAGGCATGGAGCTTGGTTTCCCCAGTTCTGCAAAGGTGAGGGAGAACTCAGAGGGCTGGGCTGGTCTTTGGGCAGAAGAGGAGCCAAGAGGAGATTGAGCCACCACCTCGATCTCCCTGCCAGCAAGGCAGCCCCTCCTCATTCATTCACGCAGTAAACAAGTGAGCTGCGTGTTCAGCTTTGTCTTGCCATCAAAGGCCTTGCAGCAGGGTGGGGCTAGGGGTGAACGCACAGCCAGAGCCTCCAAGAGGGAGGTGGGTGTCTGGTGCATTAAGAGCTAGGGAGAAGGGACACCTGGGTTGGGAAAGGTCTCACAGAGGAAGTACGTACTTCAGCCGGAGGACTCAAAGGAAGACACTTTGTGGGAGGACACTGTAGGCAGAGGACACTGAGAGCACAGTATGTTCAGACTGTGGTCTTTCTTTCTGTAGCACAGGGGTCTCCCTCCTGGACTGCGTTCTCCTCACACACACTCCTGCTCGCTCTCTTATCTCCCTAGTGTCCCTGGCAGCCATGATGCTAGGCGGGGTCCACTTCCTGTCAGCTCTCTAGCCAGCCCCACTTCCCGACCCTTCCCCTGCCCCTCACTTCTCCCCATTACCCCCTTCCTCCTGCAGCACCAAGCAGTTGCTGGCTGACATCATGCAGTTCCACCCTGGGGACTCCTTCAAGGAGATGTTGTCCCTCTCGGTGTCCAGCCTACAGGTACTGTCTCATTTGTTTCCACCTCACCCCACCAGCACTGCTGATTCCTTTCTCTCACCCCCACCCCCAGTCTGCTTCACAAGCAGACACCTCTGCTCACCAGAAACGCACAGGCTGAAAAGAGCAGCCTTAGCTGTGGGGAACCTCAGGCTGCAGAATCCTGGGACTCCACCATCCTCCCCACTCCCCACTAAAACAAGAGTGAGCTTTGCAGGGACACCAGCCTCTGATATCAGGTTAGGTGTTGTGGGGGATGTTGCACCAAAGGGCTGGTGCTGAGCAGAGGTTGGTCACTTGAAGGCCCGGAGGCAGGAGAAAGTGGTAAGTGGGTGGGGAGCCAGGGACAAATTGGGCCAGCTGGAGTGAAGACTAAGCCAATGGTTTCCCAGAGAGAAGGTGGGGACAGCCAGTAGAAGCACGTCCCAACACACAGGACAGGAGGGAAATGTTCCCAAATACCCTGGAGCCATCACAGAGCTCCAGTGTTGGGAAGTCACAGCCAGTGTCTGTCGGAATCCTTTATGCTGTACTTCCATTTGGGTCTCCCTTGGGCCTCTACTCCTCTTGGCCATCCATGGGGCCCTTCTATGTCCATGATATTACACCTTGATGTTCTTCACAAGCCACCCCTGTCTCTTTCCCCCAGAAGCTGGGCTCTGGGATCACGCTACTGATGATACCCTGAAGTGCCCCTTTGTTGCTGGTGCCTCTGGGGCCTGCCCTGGCTTGGGGGCAGAATAGTAGGGCCAGATAGACCCATGAAGCCATTATCTCCCCCCCCCCAGGAAGCTGCTCACAAGCGGCTGATGTGCCAACGCCAGGCCTATGAGGCACAGAACTCAGAGCCCCTTCGACGACGACGCTCACTGACAGCTGACTCCCTCCTGCCACTGGCAGAGAAGCAAAGGCGCGCCCTGCGGAACCTGCGCCGATTGGAGAGCCTGGGGTTGGTCAGTGCCAGCGATGGCTACCAGGGGCTGGTGGACGAACTGGCCAAGGTAATGACCTGGGCCTGGGATCTGTGTGCTTGTGTGTGTATATGTGTGTGCCTGTGTGTGTACATGCGTGCACCTCGAGGGCAGTCCTCTCCCTGGGAAGTGCCCACCCCAAGTTGTCACCAGCCAGGGGAAGGCCAATAAAACCCCAGAGGGTCCTACTTGAAAGAAAAGTCTTAAAATTAGTCAGGGAAGGAGATACTTTTGCAACTCTCTTTTACTGAAAATCAAGGAGCCTTGAAACAGTTACTCCTCAGTGGGGAAGGGCCTGAAGACATGATTTGAAGGTTTGGGATAGCATCCTTGAGATTGTACTCCTCCCAGGAAAATTAGCCTTGAAGTCTACTCTTCCTGCTTTTCCTGAAGGTACTCGGTGAGTTGTTCTTGGGCCTGGGTCAGGCCCTGAGGCTCTCCTGCCAGGAAGGGCCAACTCTCTCTCCCTTGGTCCCCCAACCCCAGGACATCTGTAACCAGCGCAGGCACCGGCAGCGGCGGAAGGCAGAGCTGGTGAAGCTTCAGGCCACACTCCAAGGCCTGAGCACTAAGACCACCTTCTATGAGGAACAGGGCGACTACTACAGCCAGTACATCCGGGCTTGCCTAGATCACCTGGGCCCTGGCTCCAAGTAGGTGCTGCCTTCATGTGTGACCCCTCACCCTGCCCATGGCGACCTTTGCCCACTCTCTACCAGCTGGGAAAGTGGCATCTCCAGCCCAGCAGGCCCCTTCCTAACTCAGGTCTTTGAATCTCCGTTGCAAAGTCTTGGGCTCAGGTGCAGCCCCTCCTTTATCTCTGACCAGTGAAAAGTCTACCTCAGGGTCTAATTTCTTTTTTACCAGCCACAGAAAGTACAGTCTTTGGTGCTGAAGAGTTTATTGGATTAATTCTCTGGGGCCTTTTTTTAATCAGGAGTTCTGGAAAAGGGAAGAAGCAGCGATCTCTTCATTACACTGCAGCCCAGCTCCTGGAAAAGGGTGTCTTGATGGAAATTGAAGATCTTCCCACCTCTCAGTATGTTTCTTCAGAGGGCAGAATGTCAGGCCCTTCCTGTCCCATTACTTGGGGGTGGAGCCCTGGGCTGGGCACCAGCTAGGAGGGGAGAGGAAGCATGGTTCCTGCCTTGGAGGAGCTGTTAGAATGATGGGGAGGACAGGACATCTCCAGACGAAAAGTTAAGGACAGTGGGCATAGTCTGGTGCAGTTCTAGACACCCCAAGGCAGAGGATGCTGGGAAAGATTCTCAGAGGAGAGAACACCTGAATGGGCCAGGCAGACAGATGTGAGGTAGTGAGCAGAAGTAAAATTGGGAGAAGACAGAGCCGGGCCCTGAGAGTGATAGAGGGGAAGTCTGGGCTCTGGGTGGCACACGGAACTGCCCAGGATGAGGGGCAATGGGTAGAGAAGAGTGTGACTCACCCTGGAAAGGGGCAGTAGTCCTCATTTTGAATCCTGTTCCTGATAGCTTCAGAAATGTGATCTTTGACATCACTCTTGGAGATGAGGCGGGAAAGTTCGAAGTAAATGCCAAGTTCCTGGGTGTGGACATGGAGCGATTTCAGCTTCACTATCAGGTGAGAGGACACTCATGAGCCCTCAAGACACCTGCCAGGCTTTAGGTGCCAGCCTCATGACAATAGGCTGACCTCAGATGACATCAGCTCTGTTCCTCACCCAATCAGCATTGTCTGTTTCTGAAGAAAAGGGTGAGTGAGGGTCTTTACAGACCCTGCTGCCAAGCATCGGGAGAATGGCATGGGCTGGCAGTGTCAGAAGTAGGATTAATATTTGAAGCCCTCTCGCAAGTCAGGGACTTTACACGTTACCTCGTTTAATCCTCTCCACAGCTCTGAAGCATTAGGCCTGTTTCACAGGCCCTGAGGCTAAAAGGTTGAGAAGCCAGCCAAAGCCAGAGGCTGTTCAGGAAAGCGGTGACTTTAAATCCAAATCTTTTTGCTCTGCTATTTTGCCTTTTGAATGAGAAAACTGATTTCAGGCCCTAGTTCTGCTTGAATTGACATTTGGTCAAGTCTCTGTACCTCTCCCTTGGCCTTAGTTTCCTCACCTGTGAAGTGGGGTTGCAGTGCCCCGTTGCAGTGGCTGCTGGATGACTGTGTAAAGCTCCAAGATGTTTTATACACTGGCTGGGCCGGTGAAGAACCCTTACACTCTCCTCCCTGCCTCTTCCCTTTCTCCTAGGACCTCCTGCAGCTCCAATACGAGGGTGTGGCTGTCATGAAGCTCTTCAATAAGGCCAAGGTCAATGTCAACCTTCTCATCTTCCTCCTCAACAAGAAATTCTTGCGGAAGTGACGGAGGCAGTGGGTGCCACCCAAGCCCTTATCTCGCTGGATGCTTTTCTTAACACTATTTGCTTCCCTGCAGACACCCAGAGCTCAGGACTGGGCAAGGCTCAAGGAGCCTTCACCCTTTCCCTAGCTGGAAGGAGTTTATTTGTCTACTTGACCACAAGCAGGGTCTCTAATTGGCTAATGTCAGCCTTGCCCCAGAGTCTGGCTGTGCGACTTTTAAGTCCCAGAACCCCATGGTTTTCCAGCTAGATGGTAGGGCATGAACCTAGGTGGGGTAGAACCCTGCCCTTTGGCCTGGGAAGGCAACTGCACTTGTGTCTGCTGCTGCCCTCCCATGGTCACCCCAATATTATATGCACTGCACTTGCAGCCTTATCTCCCTCTCCCTTCCCTGCAAACCCTAAGGCCAGGGCCAGGCTCCCTGTCCCTACTCCCACTTCATCAGCAGTGGGTGTTCCTGCCCTGCTGAAGCCCAGGCCATTCTGCTGCTACGACGCCTCACACCCTCCAGCCCCTCACCCTCACACCCAGGGGAGGCAGATAGTACCCTCTAATGTCCGTGTGGGGTTGTGGCACTGTTATCCCCCATAGTGGCATAGGCAAGCTGACCCTCCCTTAACCACAAATCCCATTCCTTTGTTGATGGTCTGTTTTATATGTGGATCACTAGGATATTTATTCTCTCCCCCAGCCTTACACTTTGGATCATGGTTTTAATTCTTTAATCTTTTTGAACTTAGAAAGAGAGTTCTCATTTCCCTTATTCAAACTAATATTTATGCTAATCTTTTATACCTTGTATTTAAAGTCACCTTAGATCACTCCAATAAATTCAATTAAAAAAATAAAGACTTAGGATGAAAACCTGAAAAAATAAAGTCACCTTAGGTGAAGGGCAGTAAGATTCCCACTCACGTTTAAGACCCCGTTTCAGCTTCAGATGGTACAGAGAGTGGCCTTTCCCTTTTCTCTTTCACCCTCAGGACTTGTACCTTAGAGCTGACTCTTCCAAGGCAGTTTTGATAGATCTGCAGTCTTGTCTCTGCCTCTGTCTCTCTTGACCCCACATATACCAACTTCCTGTCCCTGTTGCCCTTCTTGTTTAATTTTAATAAAAGCAGCTGTTACCTCACATCAGTTGTTAACCCCTTATTTCATCTGCAGAGCAGGCCTCCACAGTCTTGGACAGATCTTTCCTGAGAGAGCTGGGGAGCCCTTCCTCCAGCCTTCCCAAGCCCCTGCCTGCCTCCCATGTGGGACCACTCTGCCCGTCTGAGCTTGTAAAAACTTAATGAGATGTGGCATTTATGCCTCTCCTCCCTCCCCAGGGGACAGAGAGGAGGAGGAAGGAATTCTTAGGTTTCTATTCTGTGTTTATCAGCCACTCTGAAGACTAAAGCCAAGAAGAGGAGAAACCAGTCCGGACTCTACCCCACCCATTTTACACACATTTCCAGCAGGTTCTTTTCCTAAGCCGTGGGTGATGACGCCAGAGGTGCTCGAGCAGCACAAAATCCCCCTTTCGTGAGGAAAGCTGCCCTCCTTCCCTCTCTGCTTCCTAAAGGAGGGGACAGGGCAGCCCCTGTTGGGCCCCTGCAAGTTTGTCTGCTGAAGCCTGCCTCCCTGCACTCCATTCCTTTATGTCACTCAGGACTTGTCTTGCTGTCACATTCAATCTCAGTCACATCCTTTCCCCCTCTTAACATGTCACAGCAAAGACTTCAAGTACCACCTTGCTCTGGGTGACAGTGATACATCCCAGTGGATCCAGATTTCTGCACGTGATCAGTCATTAAAAACCTCACACCGAATAACTCCAGCATTAATTATCCCACTGTGACGCTCCCCCACGATCACATGATCTGGGCCCCATATAGCACATACACGAATGTCACAATAGCTACTATTATTGAGGGCCTGCCATGGGGTGGGATATTTACATATATTTACTCCTCACAACTCTACAAAGGTTTGTGGTCACTATCTTTGTTTAATATAAGGCAACTGAGGTAAGTGGGGTTGGATAACCGCCCAAGGTTACACAGCTGGTAGGGGGCAGAACAGGGCTTTACATTCAGGCCCACCCACTCAGAATCTATATTCCCTGGCATTTTCCTCTTCCTGCAGCCCACTCTCTTTCAAGCCTGCCCCAACCCCTCCACTGTGATTGTTCCTGATGAGCTTCAGTTTATCAGTGTCCTTTCCTAACCTTCAGTGCTCAATCTGAGATACAGGCACTTGGCTCCTGCGGGTGGGAGTATACACTAGTGCAACAGCCTCTTTGGAGGACAGTTTGGCGAGATAAAAAATGTAAGTGCAGGGTGCCAACCATTCAATGGGGAAAGACTAGTCTTTGCCAGATGGTGCTGGGATAACTGGATATCCACATGAAAGAATGAAGTTGGACCCCTACCTCACCATATACAAACATAGATCACAGATCAAATTAAACTAATTAAAATGGATCACAGACCTAAATGGAAGAGCTAAAACTATAAAACTCAGAAGAAAACATAGATACGAATTTTTATGACTTTGAATTAGGCAGTGGTTTCCTAGGACACCAAAACACAAATGACAAAAGAAAAATTAAATAAATTGGACTTTATCAAAGTTAAGAACTTGTGCTTCAAAGAATACCCTCAAGAAAATGAAAAAACACAGAATAGGAGAAAACATTTACAAATCATATATCTGATTTGGGACTTATATCCAAAATGTATGAGCTAAACAAAAAGACAAGGCAATTAAATGAGCAAAGAATTTGGATAGCCATTTCTCAAAAGAAGATATGTGAATGGCTAATAAGCACATGAAGAAATGCTCAACATCATTAGTCATTAGCAAATGCAAATTAAGTCACGAGAAACCACTTTATCCCTTTAAGGATAGCTAAAGTAAAACAGATACGTGTCGGTGAGAATGCAGAGAGATTACAATTTATACAGCGGTGGGCAAAAGTAGGTTTACAGTTGCCTCTGGGACGTCCTTTTGAGTTAATAAAGCTATTACAACAGTCATAACCTGCATGACTTTTTCCATACGAACAACTGCAAACCTACTTTTGCCCACCCTGTAGTCCGGAGCCCAGGCTGATGGAGGAACTACCATCTTGTAGCTGCACCATCGGGAACTGATACGTTAGGGAAAGAAGGAGCAGAGAATCAATCACGTGGGATTTTTATTGCCAAACGTGGACATGACACGCTACACTTCCACTCACGTTTTGTTGGCCCAAACTAGTCACATAGCCCCACCTAACTGCAAGGGAACTGGGAAATGTAGTAGCGTGAATGGAGTTTTTGGTGGGTGTCTCTGCCACACCTGGTATGACACCTACAAGGCCATGCAGGATGTGTCTTTCCACACCTTACCTCTAACGCCTTTTCTCCAGGAGCCACATGGCTTACCCAGTCGCCTCTTTCAAGTCGTCACTGAGATGTTTCTCAATGAAACTTCTCCTGATCACCCTGTTAATCGCAGCCCACCTCTCATTCCTCCCCTTCGCTGTGTTGTCCCTTATTCTGCTCTGCCTTTTCCCAAAGCACAACTTCTGACACTCACGCACCTGTCTCTCTCTCCCTGCCAGGCTGTCAGCTCCATGAGGGCACTGATCTACGCTTGCTTTGTTTAATGATGGAGCCCAAGTACCTCCGGTAGTGCCTGGCACACCGTACAAGGCACTTAATCAATATTTGTTGAAAGACTAAATTTTTAAAAATACTTGCTGCTGGCAAAGTTGTAGTAAGACTACCACTTCTATGCCTTCTTAGTGGGACTATAAATCGGTACAATACAGTTTTAAATAAACTTTTAATTTTGGAACAGTTTTAAATTTCCAGGGAAGTTGCAGAAACAGTGCAGAGAGTTTCTGTACGCTCTGTACCCAGTTTCCCTAAGGTGAACATCTTACATTTGTCAAAACTAAGTAATGAATATTAACATATGTTAACCAAGCCCCAGACTTTATTCCATTTTTCAATTAAAGGCCTCTTTTCTGTGCCAGGATCTAGTCCAAGATACCACATTGCATTTGGCAATCCGTATATTCCTTTTGGAGAAAGGGGCCGTCTTACGCAACACTTGAAAAGGCAAATGAGAAGTTCTGCAAGCCCCAGCAAGGGCAGGTTTGTGTTCATGTGCAAGAGCCCGGCTGAGTTTCCTCCTGGACCCTGGACCACTGGCCCAGCAGGGCCAACCACTTTTCTCTCCCCTTCTGAGACCTCTTTCTTCCTGTTATTGGTACAGATTCTCTGGAGGACATTAGGCCACATGTAAAAAGATCCTGTATAAAGTGCTTACTCTTTGATGCAGTAACTTCCCTTCTAGAAATACAGTCCAAGGAAACAAACACGGGCACAAAAATTTAGGTGCAAGGACGAATCAGGAAGGAATCCGTGTAAATGACAAAATTCAGTGCTGAAGAAGTTCAGCAAGTAGGGGTTTGTTGGGAGATGCTGAGTAGCACTCAGGGCTGTAAGGAATGAGATGATTTGACCTGGGAAAGATGACATGCTGACCCTTCTGGGGGATTCCAGTGCCAGAAACTGGTGGCCATCTCTCCAGGGTGCTGCCAGCTGGTGACTCAGCTCCAACTGGCTTCCCTTCCTGGGTGCTGCCTTCAGAATTCAAATTCTCATGGTAGAGGGGAAAGGAGTCTAGTGTCTACACCAGAGTCCTGAGCCCAAGGTCTGGTCCGTGGGAGGCAGACTCCGCCAACCATTAACCCCACCAGTCACGTGGAGGGAAGGAGGGTCAGCTCCCTAGAGAAAGAGACCCAAAGAAAACAATGCCACGAAGGCTTTGCAACACAGCATTCTTTTATATATGAAAACTTAAACCACCTAGATAGTGGGTGAATTAATTAAATTTATGGTATATCCCAGTTAATATGGGAAAATGTTTACAACGTTAACTGGGGAAAATGCTGGTTACAAAATAATATGCATAGGATTGTTCTGGTTACAAATATGATTGGAAGAAAATATATGAAAATGTTCCAAGTGGTTATTTTGTGATGGTATCATGAATTATTTTTACCTTTTTTTGCTTTTTAAATGTTTTCTAAATTTTCTATAATTAATATGTATTATAACCAGGAAAAAAAGTTTAAAAAAATATTTTATTTTTATTGATTTCAGAGAGGGGAAGGGAGAGGGAGAGAGATAGAAACATCAGTGATGAGTCATTGATCTGCTGCCTCCTGCACGCCCCCTGCTGGGTATCAAGCCCAAAACCCAGGCATCTGCCCTGACCTGGAATCCAACTGCCATCTCCTGGATCCTATGTCAATGCTCAACCACTGAGCCACGCTGGCTGGGCCAAAAAACAATTTTGTAAAATTCCTGCTCTTTGATATAGTTATTTCTGTTCTAGCACTCTATTCTAAGGAGATAATTAAAATGTAAGTAAAGATCTTGCACATAAAGATATCCATTACAGAATTATTTGTAATAGTGAAAATGGAAAACAACTTCAATATTGTAGGAATGTTAAATACAGTAAATATGTGGGCTTTATTATAGACATCAATGCTTTGAAGAAATTTTAAAGACATGGAAAAATGATTTATGGGTAAGGAATAAAGAAGAAACTGACATTGCATGTACTGTACGATCGCACCTATTCAACAGTGTTCATTCTTATGTCACATATCTAAACATATGCCCTCTAGAACAGTTCTCCAACTGTCTACAGTGAAGAATGACTTTTTAAAATTTCAATCTGTTATGAACTAATATTTCTGTGAAATAGAACCACTAGTTACTAGAAAAAAGAAATGGAAAAGACCTATAAAATACACTCATTTTTTTCATATTCAATTCAGGAGTAAAATGACTGGCAACTGGCTGGAAATTGCTAAGTGCTTGCTCTGAGTTTCTGTATGTGTCTGGTGGCAGACCAGGAACAGCTTGTGGATCCTACTCCAAGCAGTGCTGCTGCAACACAAGGCACACACCACTCATCCCTGTGGCTCATACCTCAGTTCTAGAGCCAAAGTGTGTGTTGGCTTTCCTTTCCAAAAGGTTAATATAAGCTCATTGTAATAAGAGCACAGAAAAGCTACTTCCCCTCATTGCTACTCCCCAAACCACTGCCAAGTTTCTTGTGTATCATTCCAAACAACATGTACATTGAC